TTCAAATATTCAAATAAATATCTAAACAATTTTCATTAATGAAATATAAACTCTGAAAGTAAATTTATGTAGATAAGATCAATAAAAATGGACATTGTAGTAATCCATCTATTCATTTAACAAGAATAACTGTTTCAATATTCTAATCAGTTTTATATAGGCCTAGCCGGAGCATGGGCCTATTATAGGTCCATGGCCGGAGTTAGTTTTGAACTAGGCAAACCTTGCTAAAATGGTACACTTTCTCCATCAAAAGGCTTTTTTATGAATGGAATGACCTATTCGAAGCACGAACTCCTGTAGACCAAACCCAGTACCGTTACGATTTTTAATTGTGAAATCCAGTCACTATGTCTTTGATTTTTTTTTCTATAGGCCTATAGAGGCCTGAAGAAGAAGATAAAATTACTGATCTTTTCAAGAGGAAAAAAAACCTTGAATTTTGAAGAACTTAAAGGTCATTAAAAAAAAAACCTCTAGAAGTCGGGAAAGCTAATAAATTTTCCATTTTGAACCATCCTCTTTCAAATCCTGGATCCGCCCCTGATTATAATGTGGGTGCTAATACCTCATCACAGACAGTGCCTGAGTCACTAACAGTTGGATGGATCTTATTAATAGGGTCCATGGATGGGTGATTTTTTTTTCTCATTTATCATCATACATCCGGGATTTTAAGTTATATCAGGATGGATGTTTCCCCCCTAGCTCTCATTTCCTTGTGAAAGTATTTGAAGTTCGTGTGGAAAAATACTAAATAAAGTACAATATTTTAAAAGTTACTTTGGTGTTTCCGACTATTTTTTTACTACTGGTTTATACATTAATTTGTTTGACAAAAGAGAAAACGTTATATTTACATACCAGACTGAGGAAGGGCTGGAGAACATAGTCATAGTCAAAGCAAACACATCATTAACTATATGTTCTCATTTAATAAGAATTACATATATCGAATACCAATGCATGGATGGATGATTGTTTATAATGAATAGTTATCTTCTGTGAGGCCTATTAAATATTATTTTTCTTTCTCCCAACAGGCTTTTTCTTTTATCAACATTCAAAATACTATTGTGATTTCAAGTACGGTATACAGTACTTTCAAAAAACCCACAATACATAGCATATTTTCCAATAATGTTATTCTTATAAAGTCTTGCCTTTATATTTCGTTGAAAAACGGATATAATAATTTGACTTTATGCACTTTTTTTTCAAAATACAGGTCTTAAACCACTGTATTTATATGCATCCACAACAGACGCTAGGGGCGTTTTCCCCCATACAGCGGATCGGGCTTCACGCTGACTCGTGTGCATTAAGAATAGCAGTGGACTTTCTTCTGTTATATACTCTTCGATATAGTGGTAACAAGCTCTGCGGCTCAGTTCCAGTAGATACAGTTGTCAATCTTAACGCCTCCTACAAAATTCTTACGAGACAGCACTGAATTTGTGAACAAGATTTTCTCTACTGTTCCATTTTAATTTTAAATTGTTTTGCATTATGTGGTATATAAATTGAAAGAAATGCATTTACTAAATTTCAAAATACACTGATAATTTTTTTTAAATTGTAATTATAGATATTGTATGTTTCGCATGCATCTCTTAGGGCTTTGCAATACTACAGCAACTAAATATTGACTCTTCTTTCTGATATTATATCTTTCTAATCTCTAATTAACCAATTATAATATTATACTATGATACTACTTAAATCAGCAACTTCATATTGATTGGCTTTCACCACTTTATTTTGATTAACTAATTAAATAATTATCTTAACTCGGTGAGACACTATGTACACTTCACTTTATTCAAAAACAATTAGAACTGTTTTAATTCGCGTGTTTCTTGACAACCGGTATGAGTTCCGGTAAAGTGGTCGTCATAAAATGCCCTTTGTCTTGGTAACGATATAACTCCGGGTTCAGCCCTTTCACGACTTGCATTTGCTCACTTTCCCAGGGCAAGTAGGGGTCATCTTCAGACCCAAACTGTACGATAAACTTTGTGTTGCTCTTTATCTTTTCCCATTCCCACGGTCTATTGAAATAGCCTGAAACGAAAATTGAGTTGATTAGGTCTGGGTGTAACTAGCCAGAAACAGTGGCGTAACTGAGTCTTGAAATCGGATGATTGCGGGAGGGAAGGGTGCGCTCTGTCGCAAAATAAGGTGATTTTTACTTGAGTGTGATTTTTAGCTTAGGACATTTTCAATGGGTTGGGGGGGGGGTGGGGAGACTAGAGGCGCGAGCATTTTTTAGGACTGCCCCTCCCTGTACCCCCTAATGCGCTAATGGCCTAAAATAATTTTTTTTTTTTTGGAATAGAGCTTACCACTTGCTCTTTCGTTTTCATCCCCTACATCAGTAACATATGCCGACACCAGGAAAATTCCTAAAACAGTGTGTGTTTCTGCATATCTGAAATGAAATGCATTATTATATTATTATGAATATTCATACTAGTTGTGATTGTATTTACCTAATGATATCTAGATCACCCATCAAGAGGCAGATTGTTATCATATTCAAATTTAAGTTGGAGAGTGCCATTTCCGGCCATCAGGGTGCCTTAATAAAAAAAATCTCAGGCATGGTAAGGCTGAGTTGGTATATTATAGACCCACACATTTCTGAAAGTCCTGTGAGCCCCGCGAGTTGAGTGGCCGAGCGGTAAGGCAGGGCCACCGCCATCTACAGCCTTGACATCAGCGCTGGTTCCAGCCTCTCCTCGCCCCTGGTTCGGTTGGTAGGCATAATGACTTAAAATGGAGGTCCAGTGTATATATCTGGCTCGTGTGCACTTTCCATTGCATCTTTCGTAAGAGTAGGGGGTTACCACCGATGTTATGGTTCAGGGACGTAGCCAGAATTTTAAAAGGAGGTCGCCGTTATGCGAGGTACGTAGGACTCCGGGGTCTAGGGGCGAAGCCCCCCTCTGGAAAGTGGCTCGCTCTGAAGGTTTTTAGGACTGTTTTGAGATGATAAAGTGAAAATTGCAATAAACGCATTATTAATAATATTAGTACAGTAAGCCTAACAATAATTATATAAAACTCAACAGTGGCGGATCCTGGAATTCAAAAGGGAGGTGACCCACGGATGTACTTTTACAGATTGAGGAACCACCCACCTCCGCCCCATCGTGGTTGGGGCTGAGGTAAAAAAATTTATGATTAGGGCACCTTTAAATGGCCGGAAATTACTCTTGAATCCACCACTGCTCAAAACATTCTTTATCCAAAATATTCATAATCACGAAAAATGGGCATGTAAATCCAGATCACATCCTAAAAACAAATTCATGCATTCTCGCCTCATCAGAAGTCGCTAAGACATATTCTGAGTCAAGTGTATTCAGTATTCAGTATTTATTTCACCAAATGAAGATAAAAGGACAAATTCAAGGGTGGTGGGGAGACCAGTTCATGACCTTAACAAGAAAAAGAAAAAAGAACAAACAAGTACAGACGAAACAGGACGAACAAGCAGAGAGGCAAAGCATTGTAAAAACATATTGTAAAAACAAGAGGTAACAATGGGATGAATAGCTTAAAGTCATAAATTTAAAAAAAATATGGTTTTGAAAATAAATTTAAAAAGCATAAAACACCCTGGAGAATCCCTCCTTTACTCTCAAAATCAATCAAAATAAAAAATAAAAAATAAAAGTAAGGCATAGTATTTGAACTTATCTAACCAACGAAACATTCTTTTATAGCAGATGTATGAAAAAAGGTGTCTCTGGCCAAATTCATGCCCTCCTCTCGTTATCATATGGGTATCAAAAAACTCATTAGGATATGCCAGATCAAACCCCAGGCAGTTATTCTCATACAAATGTCTGAAACGGTCATAAACATAGTGTAACTATAGACACAGTATAACAAATAAAAATGGATAAGTAAATATATTCCTTTCTCCTTTATGGCAGAAAGTAGATCTATGGTGTGTGATTACAATTGTGATAAAGATCGTGGTAAGGATGTACTTCTGCCCGCAGTAGTTCGACAATTTATAAAACTATATGTCAAAACTTAGATTACAAATTAGGCATCTCAAGTAAGAAAATGAAATTGCTTTCTTCATAGGTTAGTTTGAGAACTTAGAGATATTGAGACAAAAAAATTTTCTTGAGTGCCTTCTTGAAAGAATAGACGGACAAGCAACTTTTTACTTCAGAGCTGATGTTATTTAAAAAAATAGGCCCCTGACGTCTGATTGTATTTCGTGCCAAGTCTGTTTTAAAGTTGTGGGGTCTAAGTTGATTCGAGATTCGTGTTGATTAAACATGAACCGCATTAACTTGATGAAAATAATTTAAAAATGTGTCTGGTAGAAGATTATTGTAGAATTTGTACATAAATATACCAAGATTAAGTTTGTGTATGTCATAAACGGTGAGAGTATTCAATGAGGCAAATAGAGGGGGTGAGTGGGCCAGGAGTTGAGCATTTGTACATAAGCGAATGATTTTCTTTTGCTTTACGTGGATTTTGTGAAGATTACAATTATTCTTATCTCCCCATATAATATTACAATAATGAATATGGGGTAGTATTAAACTATTATAAAGTGAGAATAATGTATTAGTTGGTAAGAACCCCTTGAGTCTAGATAGAATGCCAGAGTATTTGGATACAATATTACTCATGCATTGTGTGAGTATTCCATGTTAAGGATTCATCAAGCGTAATGCCAAGAAACTTGAGGTATGATACTTTTGAAATTGGAATTTTGTCTATGGTAACTATTTGGTCTTGATATATACGATTACTAAACCTGTTTTTAAATATCATGAACTTGGTCTTGTCTATATTAAGTGATAATTTATTTGCTTTCAACCAATTAGATATGCGAGTCAGTTCACAATTTACGATACGAATAAGGTGTTGAAAATTTGTATGCGATGCCAGAAGATTGGTATCATCTGCAAAAATAAAAGTAAATCGATTGGATGAATAAACTATATCATTAAGGTATATAATTAAGAGTAAAGGGCCCAATGTTGAGCCTTGAGGGACCCCACAAGATGATTTAATTTGTTCTGATTTACAATTATTAAAAGAAACATATTGAAAACGGTTGGTGAAATAATCCACTCAAAGGCAATAGTAATAATAATAATAATAATAACTTCATTTAATAAAGCGCAAAACAATATCCATTAAAAATGTTCATCGGCGCTGTACAGAATTTAAAAATATTCATAGACCAAAATACACTTTAAACATATAAGAAATATACATTAAAAGCTAATAGAAATGTTTGAAACCAATAATCATCACAAAATCACAATACCATTTAACACATCAAAAATATACATTGAAATAAAAGAAAACGCGACATGAAATAGAACACTGTAGTGAGAAAGTTTATAAGAAGGATATTATAGTTTATTGTGTCAAATCCCTTTGAGAGGTCCAGGAATATGCCAAGGGTGTGCTTATTGCTATCAAGATCCTCAAAAATGTTATTATATTCTTCCAGAATGGCCATGTAGAGCGGTTGGAACGAAAACCGAATTGAGATTTGTGCAAAAAGTCAAATTTAGAAATATAACTATATAATCTACTATGAACAATTTTCTCGACTCGATGGAGTTTAGTTTTATATCCAAGAAAGGCGCAATCTTTTTCGAAAAGTGGAGATGGGGTGGGGGACATTTCGTGAGTTGAAACCCGCCTCAGACCCGCCATGTTTGGGGCCGAGGTGTGAACATTTGAGGAAATAGTACCTGATAGATGTCCACAAAATGACACTTTTAGTAAAATTGAACAAATTTCTCATGATCTTTTATCAGGGTCTACTTAATATCCGGACAACTTAGGCCTAACTACAGCTTACTAAGCATTAACTATACTATAATAATTATGATCAACAAATCACAACTTACTTTTTCGCTTTGAGCACAGTTTTCTTCACTTCACTATTAATATTATTAATATTATTACCTATTACCACCATCGTCATCATCATCATCGTCACCATCATCATTATTATTATCATTACTACTACTAGTAGTAGTAGTATTACTGTAGTATTAAAACAAAACTTTATAGAGCTTGCAAAAGGATAAAAAACCAAACTAAACCGTACAATATCACATTTCTGTATCTGAAAATACCTGGCCTGGGATTTATGGATTTAAGATTTGTTAAAAATCACGCTTAGGCCTATATAACGTGTGCTGATGCATATTTACATAGTTTAGAAGTATTCATTTTGAGTGATCCCTGGAAAGGAATTGTATTGGCTAGCAAGAACAAGCTTCAAAATGTTAACACTGTGTACAAAGGAGGGCTTAGTCTCCTACTTTTACCTTTACCTTTACATTGACAAGTAATCTAAATTAACCCACAAAATGTTTACCTCATAGCAGCTACGGCACCGGAACTATGACCAATGATAATGGTCGACTCATCACACTTCAAAACATCCTGCATAAATGGTATCCATATACTTTCTTTTGCTCCAGCTGGATAAAAAAATTTGGTATACTTAAGTATTTTTTTTTCTCAAAGTTCCATTCACATCTTATTTTTTAATATAAATATTAATATAAAGCTAATATATTATATTTTTTCTAAATTTGATTTTCCTTTTTGTTGCTGTATTTATTGGCCTTACAGAAGTATGTTTATGAGTACTATAATCTAAATAACCAATACATGATTCATAAAGTGGCTGGGATGATACAAAGATTAACAATATTCTGGTAATATAAAGTTATGTCTCTGATTTTAGAAGTAAAAGTTCCGGACAGCCACAATTAACACTTAAGAGTTAGGCCTGGGTGCTTCACACGGAAGCACTCAGGGCTCCGAATAATTCCATGGGGAAATTGGTGCATCCAATTCATTCGACAGTGGGGACCAAGCAGGGGGTCCAGAGGTCCCAAACAGTGGTCCCTTTTTCCCCTTGAACCCCTTCTCAATTTCTGCCATATTGATTGCTTTTGAAAATTAGGAATGAGGTCGAGGCCTACCTGGATCAGGCATTTGTCGGAGCACACATTCCACATCCGTTACCTGCAAAGACAGGATGTAAAGCTTACTATACCAATTAAGCAATAATGCTATAATTTTATATAAATTTTGAACATTAGGCCCTATAGAAGAGGAATCTGCGAGTGCGAAAAAAGTTCTTCCATCCGGGATTCGAACCAGCAAACATTTGCTGTGCATATATATGGGGGCTTTCATTGGAAATTCGATTCAAATGTGGTTAGAGCCAAATAAATTCACATTATATTATGGAGGTACAGCACTAATATTTGACGCACCGACATGAAGCTAATATCAATGTGATACGCAAAGAAGTACAATCAAGGTTGCGATCGCTCTTTGCCAGAATTTGGAATGAAAAATGTAATTCTCACTCAAACTTCAAAACTCGAACAGGGCTTCAGCTAAGATGCCATCATGAAGGTATTATATACCACCTGCCCGGGAAAACCATCAACATCATGTTCTGCTAATAACAGGGAGGCCCTTACGTAGGATTTTTATTGTTTTATTGGGTAGGTTCCGAATTTGTGGAAAGTGGACCAAAATGGGGAGGGGGGGGGGGGAAGGCTAATGACATAGCCCTTCTGAGGTCGAGTGGGCGGAGCCCCCTCGTGCTCAAACATTCTTGATATTTTGAGATCTTAATATATTTTGAAGATGCAATATGACTGAGTATTAAACGGTTTTTTTTCGGTGGCATTCCAGGAAATGAGGGGTCCAGGAACGGACATTCAGAGATGGACGGTTGATATGGTGGGGGCTGAGCCTCTGAGGTAGGAACATTTTTAATAATGGCACCCCTAGGCAGCCGGAAATGCCACTATAAGACTGAATATAATTTGAATATATATATTTTTTTCCATTTAGGGGGAGGGCCCGAGCCGAATGCCCACTCCCTGAATCCACCACTGGTTTTGAGAGTAAAAATTAGTCAGCGTTTTTATTTTTAAATGTTCTGTAGTCTATCAACATTTTTTTATAGGCCTAAAGATGAATATAGACTTTGATATGTTAAGGAAACTGATCTATACAAAATTTAAATCAATCTAATTAAAAACATTGTGGAAAGTCATTAATTATACTTAGTTTAACGTTCATTAATATGATTAAATTTATAGAATTGTAAATAAATCGAGGTGGAAGTAAAATAATTCTCTACAAATTGGACATACATATAGCCTAGATGTGAAACTTCAAATGACGTGGTGTTTCAGATTTTTGTGCACAATGAAAAAAGCATTGGGCATTGGAAATATTAAATTTGTAGGCCTACCAAAAAATGTAAATGTCATATTAATTATAAACAAATGGAACTAATTGAATTTGCGAATATAAACAAATAATTACAAGCGCTTTACGTCGTTGATGACATGGGCAGACGTCAAAACATATAAAATCGAGAATTAATAAAATAAGCCTATACTGATCTGATTGGGAACAGGGTAGGGAAAGCGATAAATCCCTTTGTTGTTTTGAAGCGAGGTCCACCACCCTTCCGGGCAGGGAGGGACTTCAACATGGGGGCCGTGGCGGAATTCGAAATAGAGGGGGTCCAGAGAGGGACTCTCACCCACCTCAGCTCAGACGGCCCCAGCATGGTTGGGGTTGAGGAATAAAAATGTATGATTATGGTACCTCTAGATAGCCGGAAGTGGCACGCGGAGACTTAAAACGGGAATATAAGATAATTCTAGTGAAACCTTTAGAAAGAGAGAAGATGTGTTTGTACGTGGCGAGTTATTGACACGCAAACGGCGGGGAAAAATACACAAATTCATTAAAAAGCTTATAAATGCATTTAAAAGTCCTTGAGACAGTCCTAGTTGGAAACTGCTCTGATTGGTCAAGGAGTTGGGTGGATTTCTGGGAGTGGGAGTGTGCTTTGAATTTCTACCCCTGAAAATGTTTGTTTTTTTTTAGTAATTCTGTCGCGAACATTTCGCAATCCTGATGTTTTAATATCCAGGTTGCAAAATGTCCACGCAGAGTTACAAAACGTCTGCATTATAAGATTATTAGTACAAGAGCAACCAGTGTTTAAATTCCAACCCAACTACAAGTTGTAGAATAATAACGCCTACCTGCAGTGTGAGAAAGCAGTGAGCAAATGCTATAGGAGTGTATGCGATTCTAATCAAGTCCAAGGCTGTCTATAATCTAATGTAAGCATGAACCAATGACCTAACAAATGTTATTAAATATTAACAACATTAATAACATAACTTACGTGCGAAAAAAGATGAGGTTGTTTAAATCGTGTTTTAATGGAGTTGTTCATAAATGGAATTCTCTCTCTCCTTAGGGCTATGTTAAAAATAGTCAGTTTGGTACATTTAGTAATGGTTTATTGCCATCAGGTGTTTTTTAAAAAAAAGTATCATAATGAATATTTCTTTTATATTTGTACTTGTTTGCTACCAGCGATTTATGGACTGAGTGCTTGCGTTATTTAGTTCCACTATGCCTGGCACGTCAATTTTTATTGCTTTATGCATGGAGCTATAAAATGTTATAGCTTCATGGGTATGTATATAAGGCAGAGTTGAATAAATAAATTTAAAAAAATAATAATAAAAATTAACGTGTAATAACACTGACCAGAAGCCGAAATAAAGCCTCATTTTAAATCAACTTACGGTGGGCTCTATCTGCTTATCTAAGTGAATGTCTTGGAAGCTTGAGTTACTGAGTGACAGTCAATGCGGAGTTCGGAAGATGTTGATTTTGAAATTTTGGATCAAGTCCTAGCTAAACTTGAATAATGGTTTGGAGGAAAAACATGTTTTTTAAGCTGCAATTCACCCTTCCTCCCTATAATTCACCGATGAGAAAATTATCAAAAACTTTATGTAGGCCTAATGCAGCATTGATAGCGAATTTGTAGTTGCAGACTAGTCAAAACCCTAAGTACATCATAGGTCTAAACAAAATGTGCTGTACATAACTATTTGCCCAATTATTTGCTAATTTTAAAGCGCCAGATTTACAATATATTATTCATTTATTTATTTATAAATAAAAACATAAGAAAGAAAAGGAAAGAAATGATAAGGAAACATAAGAGAGTAAAACGAAAGAAAAGATAAGGAAACATAAGAAAGAAATACGGAAATATAAGAAAGGAAAAAGAAAAGAAAGATAAGGAAACATAAGAAGGAAAAGGAAAGAAATGATAAGGAAACAAAATAAAGGAAAAGGAATGAAAAGATAAGGAAATACAAAAATGGAAAAGGAAAGAAATGATAAGGAAAAATAAGAAAGGAAAAGGAAAGGAAAAGATAAGGTAACATCAGAATGAAAAATGAAGGAAAGTTATGTGAACATAAGAAAAGGAAAGGAAATGGGGATTGGGAAATACAGGCAAGGGCTGTGAGGAAAGGATAGACATGACTAGCGAAACACATAAGAAAAATTTAAACTGTGAAATAGTTGAATGTATGAGAAATCAATAATAAATTGGAAAGTAACCAAATGGAATGAGAAGGTAACTGAAAGAAAAAATAAATAAATAAAAATAAATAAATAAATAAAATAAAATAAATAAATTAATAAATAAAATAAATTAAAATAAATAAAGAAATATTCATTCATAATGTTAATCTGAAAAGGGGGAAAGGGGCGTAACTGCCCATTTTTATACCTTATTCCCTCAGTTTTTAAATATTAAAAAATCTGTATCTCATTCACCGTTCCAAAGTTTTTCGTCAAACAACTTTTTTCTGTCTTAGAAAAATCAGTTCTACAACATATCAAAAATTTTTTTTCCCTCCGGGGAATTCTTACACTATTAGATACAAAGAAATATTGTGTGAGTCAGAAATATGAATAAATATTTAAAAACAAAATATTGGAGCATAACTTAACTAAATCGTTCGTATCTAGTGTGAAATCATTTGCTGTATGTGTTTTACCCAGGAGGAGTGAACTGGTTTGCAACCTTGAACTTTTGTGTACAACTTATTTTTTTATGTAGGCCTATGTACGCATACGGTATTTGATTGTTAATACAGGCTTTGTCCTAGGTTTTTGCTAAGCGAAATAAGTGTTTCGCAACAGCCTTTCATCTTTATAAAAATGCGCTCAGTGTTAAAGAATATAAACGACGCGATGATGTCACTGTCGTGTCGTTTCTAGTGTAAGAAAAGCATATAAGTACAAATTTCTACCATAAATGCATTATGCATTTATGGTTTAAAAGCATAAAAACTTGATGTATTACAACATTGATAGTGAATTTGATGTTACAGACTAGTCGAAAAAAGGCCTATGAACAAAATGTACTGGTACTGGTACTGGTAATTGTAGCCGTCTAATTTCAGACATTCGGCAGCCATTGACATTATGTTGGCGTTAAAAGACTGCATATTATGATGAGGGACCCGTGTACAAACAATTACCAAAAACAAAAAATATGGAAAACTGAATATTATTTACAAAATATTCTATTTAATGCTTATGGGTGACAACCAATTTATTTGCTAATTTAAAGCGTCAGATCTAGACCTACAATACATGAAGAACTCTGGCCTCCTTGTTATATTATTTTTGCTTGTAAAATATAAATTATCAGAAATATAAATATACCTACCTGATTTATTTTATCTCTTGCCCATGCATACCAGTTACACTGCTCGACATCTTCGCAGGATATATTTCCGGGGATAATTGCAATTTTTACCATAATGGATATTTATATGCGGTTAACTCTTCGGCGCCGAATTCCAAATTCTTGTGCTTGCAATGCGGTTAGTTTCAACTTAAAAATAGAAATATTTCAAGACGGGTTGTTAAGACCTTTAACTTACAATGTTCGTTCAACTGTATAGTCCTTTAGAACAGATCGGCTTAATTGGAACTAAAGCGTGTGAACTGTGACGGTACGTAACCGCACGGTAAAACCTCAAATAAAAGCCCTATGGATGAACATCTTTCGAGATTATGCTTTCATTCATGCTGACGTTATCTTTGATTATTATGATAGCGTGTAAGTATCAGTATTACATTTTTGTACCGTGCATGGTTAAAATATAGAAAATATTTATTAAATTTGTTTAACTCCATAATTTAGAGTATAGCAATTCAAAAATTTACACCATTTATTTTGAAAAGAAGCACCTTCTATAGTTTTTGCAAAACCATCTCATATCTTATGTATATTGTTGATCATTATTATTATTTATTTTATTTTATTTTCTTATTGTGTCCATGCTACAGATAAATTGTATTAATATGTTTGGAAGGCTCCTGGATGTTAATTGTCAGGAGCCTCCGTGTGAAATATTGAATTTAAAAAATCTCTATTGCAAGAAGCATACATTAATTTAAAGTATTAGTCATTTATGAGGACCCATGGATGAACCATCAACAATCAGCCAACATGCAAATTGGATCGGAGATCCTTCCTTGTCTTAAAAAAAAAATCCTAAAGAGGGTGAATTCCTGTTATATTGATAGCTTATCTTATTATTATATCTTATATCAATGGCAAGGTTTATACGCTGTCGGACAGATTCAATGGAACAATTCGTAAGTAGTGGTTAAAGCATAGGGGCCTAAGTCTGATACAGTAAAGATCCTATTAAGGGGACGCCTTCGGGACCAAAAAAGGTGTCCCTTAATAGGGGTGTACCAAAGGAGGGTAAGTTCTACTGTATTTGTAATGCACAAGGCGTACCTCAATCAAGGGACCCTTGTTATTTATAATATTTATAAATGATTTACCAAATCTTGTGCCTGTGTGTTGTATAAATAATATGTATGCAGATAATACTGCTATTTTATGCAGATAAGGAGTTAAATTTAGGCCTACTGACAATAACAAAATATTTTTTTTTTTTTTTTTTGCATTTCATAATTTTGGTAATAAATATTAAGAGGATAATGGGCTTGAACTTTAAAGTTCAATTGCAAACTGTGTGCTTGTCTGTGCCCACTATAATTTTCCCCAATGGGCTTAATCTTGAGAAGAAGCCCATCTCGAATTGAAGCCCCTCTTTAGTTTGCAAAAGTAGTCTCGGAAAGAAGCCCACGAAATTTCAAGGTAGCATGAACCTTTTTTCAAGGTAGTAAACTGTACATAAACTGGACATAAATATGAAAGAAACAAAGTAAATTAAAACACATTGGTTTATACAGTAGTTTAGGTGATTTAATGCCGGTTAATGCCCGTCATGATACAGATTAATGTTACAGTGGCTCTATTTTTTATTTATTGTTTTATAGCCTAGTAATTCTCAAAATTTAGAGCATTCAATTTGAAAAGAAGCCCCCCCCCCCCTCTTTTACTATGCAGAAGTAGCCTCGAAGAGAAGCTTATCTCGAAAAGAATCCCATCTCGAAAAAAAAACCAATCTCGAAGACCATCTAAAGTTTTAAAAAAAATAAATAAATACAAAGAAGAAGCCCAGGGCTTCAATTCCAGGTTTGACGATACTGCGACAATAACATTCAGAGGCGAATTTAGAAAGTTTAGATAAAAAGTGTTTATTAAAGTTTTCAGGTTTGTTTTAACGCCAGTTTGTGTTACCTAACTATGTAACTTAATTCATTCTAATTAAAGTAAAGAGAGAAACGGGTTGACCAATAACAGGACCTTAAAATGTTTGCTATAGATCGACTACAATGTACGTTAATATGTAATACATTTAAATCAATTTAGATCAGTCTTAATGATGTGATTTTAAATAGCAGAAGCGGATTTAGGTTGGGGGAGGGTGTGGGGAGTGGTTAAAAAAAAAAGAAAAAAAGAAAAATTGATCGCCTAAACGCATAAGGTTATTTTCGGGCGTCAGCAACTAAAGAACATAGGGCCTAGGCTATTTAATATTATGATGTAGCTGGGCATGTATTTTATGGTGATAGATTAATTAAAAGAAGTTTAACATTGTTCTGTGTATATTATTTGAATTTCTTCAATTTCAAACGAACGACCCCTGATTTTCCTGTAATTTGTGCAGTATTTCAATGAATATGTACCCATATAACTGTCTTCTAATCGGATTAAAATCTGGCCGAATTTTGGCCGATATTGAAAAAAAGTTTGGCCGAATTTGGTCGTGAGATGGCGTGTGTTTGGCCGTGAAGCCTGTCGACTATCTGGCAACCCTGGTTCAAACAAGTTGGGAACCGGCCTCCTGGTAGTCCGCAACAGCACAAAGGCTTCGCTCGAGAAACTTGCATTCGCTCGAATCTTAGCAGCCTGTTGTTCTGCGCGCGAGCGAAAGCAGATCAGTAAGCTTCCCGAGTAAAGATGGTGTCGCTCGCGGAGTAAGTATACTTTTAATATCTATTTTCTGGTATATTAGTAGTATTATTTGTAATACTTTGTCACTGATTATGCATTTTCGGTTGACTTGTGTTTTGATTTTCGTCGATTCAACTAAAAGAAGATGAATAAATGCCAAGATTAAGAAGGGTTCGGCGCTCTAGCCTAGGCCTCCTACATTACCTAAACTAACCTAGGCCTAGGCAGGCCTGGCTAGCCCAGCAGGATAGGGCTGGGCTAGTCACACTCGGCCTTGTGTAGGAATGGTAAAGTGTCATGGTGTTGGGTTTTATTAAAAATAATCTTTAAAACGTGTGAAATCTCCTCAGCTGACAAGTCGGACAGAAATCAGCCCCTTTTTTCCAAAAGGTGCGGGCGGAATTCTAGGCCTAAGTTTTGCGTGGAGAAAATGTATATATTTTACAGTTTGTAATCCATATGTTGCTAAGTTGAATTTATATGTGTATTGTTTTTGTAGTATTCTTCCACCTCCGATTCAAAGGACTCATGAAGAGTTTGCTGATGATGATAGACTTTCAAGAAAGGTTGGTATCTAGACGGGTATCTAGTTCCTTGAAAAACATTAACATTTGCTATTTACATAAAAAGTAGCTGATTAGCTGTATTAGTCAGTAAATACAGTAAGATTGTCAAGTAGCACTTTTTTTATTTAATTTTATTCACAAGCTTTCACTTCCAATTGGTGGGTTTTCAGTCCATCATCAAGTTAGCAAACACTTACACTTTCAGAAGTTACCTTTGGTACTTACCAGCACCCTAAGAACCAGATATACATTTAAATATTTAAAGTTGTTATTTCTGTGAGGATCATTTTGTAAATTTTTAATTTATTTTGTAATTATTTTGCCTTCCTCTGCAGTTGAATGTAGTTTCTGTTTCTAAGAATGCAGCGCCACCTTATGGACACCGTAAGGGTTGGGTTCCACGGTCAGCTATGGTGAGTACAGATGCCTCAATGAGTGAAAATTCTGCAACTCTATTTTTGTCATATTCTTATAGTAATATGTATAAAGTTAAAATATGATGAAGAATGTACATTTTCGTCCCTTCCTCACCCATTTCATAACAATATGCTCAATTCTCAATTGATATATTTACAAGTATAATTGAACATAATTATGTTCCAGTGGTTCTCAATCTATGGGTCAAACCCAAACTTGGGTCGTGGAACATTATTAGAGCACAGGTAGGAAAATGCGGCCCGGCATCGATTTTTTTGTGGCCTGCGAAAATGAATTAAAAACCCAAGCAACATTGTCTAGAAAACACCTTGATTTTTACGGCCCGATACTGATAATATATGTAAAAAATAAAAATTGGAGGTTTTTGGAAGCTCACTTGAAACATCAAAGTTTGGGTGTGGCCCTCGGTGTTAAATAGAATATTCACTTTGGCCCTCTGACCGATTTGTATGCCCGCCCCTGAATTAGAGGATCTGTAGAACCTTTAGGATTTTAAAAAAAAAAATTGAAATTTTATTTCATGTTAAAATTTGCTAATGAGAGCACATTTGATGTACATAATTTTTCTCAAAATCTTGGTTACTTGTTATATACGATAACCCATTTTGAGTATCTGGTCCTTATGGTCTCGGGAAGTGGGTCGCAGTAAATTGCCTAGACTTGTACTTGAGAACTGCTGTTATAATGGATCCAAGATTGCAAGAAGAAACAAAAGGAAAATCGAGTGGACAGTTTGTTTTAGACATAAAAATAACAATTTTGTTATTCAAGCTGGAGTAGAGTACACATGCCTGTTTGTGCCCCCTCCAATTCTACTCTGACTTATACATTTTTGGTCATACCGTAAAACCTGGAATTGAAGCCGTGGGCTTCATATATTTTTTTGCGAGCTAATTTTGCAAAGTAAAGAGGGGCTTTTTTTCAAAATAAATGCTGTAAATTTTGTGAATTTGTACTATGAAACAATAAATAAGGCCACTGTAACATCAGTCTGTATCATGGAGTGTATTTAACTGGCATTAAGTCACCAAAACTACTGTATAAACCAATTCAATTTATTTTGTTTTTTTAAATTCATGTACAGTGTATGTTCTGTACTATCTCGAAAAGAAGCCTCTGCTATCTTGAAAAGAAGCCAGCTTCTTTTCAAGGCTAATTTTGCAAACGAAGAGGGGGCTTCAATTCAAGATTGGGCTTCATTTTGAGATTAAGGCCATTGGACTTCAATTCAAGGTTTTACGTTATGTAACTTTTAGTTATTTCCTTTAATCATTTCATAAAATTTTCAGGATTATGGAGATGGTGGTGCCTTTCCTGAAATCCCTGTTGCCCAATACCCGCTTGATATGGGACGGAAGAAGGCTACAGGTAATGCATTGGCTAAGACAGTGGATGGAGAGGGCAAAGTTCGATACGATGCTATAGCACGGCAGGGTCATGGGAAAGACAAGGTAATAAAATTTACTTACTGAAGCCAGCCATATTCTGTTAGATTTTTTGTGTCAGACTTAACGGTCAGTGTTTTATCAGAATTGTCTGATGATGATGACAGTCAACTTCAGACATACAATGAAATTTACTTACTGAAGCCAGCCATTTTCTGTTAGATTTTCTGTCAGACTTAATGGTCAGTGTTTTATCAGAATTGTCTGATGATGACATGGTCAACTTCAGACAGACATGGAAACTGTTGCATGTCCATATAGTCATAATATGCCTATAAATGATCATGATGTGATATCATCATGACCATTTTTAGGCATGTCTCATTTTTTTTGTCATGGAATGACATATGATTTCTTTGATCTCAGATATGTCTGAAACAAGCATTTGTTATGAGGTAAAGTTTGATCAAACATTGTGGAGTAGAGCTCTGTCCAGACTATATAATTTTCTTTGACAAAAAATGTTACATGCCTATAAATAGTCATGATGTGCCTAGATATGGTGAGGAAGTGATGTCATCATGACCATATTTAGGCATGTTGTCACATATTTCTGTCAAATAATATTTGATAGGACATGGCTTTAAACAAGTATACAGTATCAAATATTCAAATGTAGTTTGATCAAATATTTTTGAGTTAATACAGACATGAAAAGATAATATTTGATTGATCATGTTGAAACAACAATCCACTATCAGATAAAGCCTCATCAAATGGTGTATCTAGGAGTCTTGAAATGGGGGGAGGGAACGTGAAGGTGAAGGGGCTCGATCAGGGGAAGCTAGCTCGCAAAATAAGGAGATTTGAGGTGATTTTCTTGCGTCAAACATTTTCAGTGGTGGATGGAGTAGTCTGGGGACACGAGTATTTTTTAGGGGTGTGCACATCCCTCCCCCTTCTAGATACGCTACTGCATCATACATTTCTGTTGAGTCTCAACTGGCCAAAATCTTATTATATTACGTGTACCTAGCCTCATCAGCAGGGAACCATAAGTAAAATAAACAAGATCCTGATGACCTTAATAGGACCATTTTCATGAAAAAGCAATGAAATTTGCCATATTTTAACCCATCGAAAATATATATAATTAAATACTTTGCATAATATATTTTCTTTGGATATTAGGTAGATACTTTTTGTTTTAGTCTTAATAATTTTTTCCCCAAATATTTGTAGATTGTGTTTTCAAAGTTTCACGATACTATAGCCAAAGGCGTGCCTGCAGAAGATGATCCGGACTTGCAAATACCCGATGAAGAAGAAATAAATGAAGTAAGAGACTCATTTTATAATTTAGTAACATTATCTAATGCATCTTATTAGGATAGATGGATCTATGTAGCAAATCACTCTCCACTTAATAGGGAAAGCAGTTTGATACAGGAGTTCCCTTTCTGGTTTGGAGTGGGGATGAGTTTGAACCACATGCTGACCACTCTGCTAACTTGGTTAGATCACCCAACTTCATTGACAGGCTGTGAAGATGTTCACAGTATGTTAAACTCCTTGAAGAATGTTTCTTCTAGCTTACAAAAGTACCCATGTTTTTGATATAAGCAAATAAAATAAGAGTTTCACTCTTCCTCTTACATATATTTTTTGGAAACTATTTGCACACAAAGACAGTGCACACTTTGGTTAAGTGTATTTCTCAGATATCTTAAGTATGTGGGGTGTGTTTATTGTTTAACAAGATGGTTCTCAAGTAGTTTGTACTTGGGAGGGTGGGGCTTGTATATTAAAGGTCGCCGACAGATATGGTACAGTACCGTAAAACCTCGAATTGAAGCCTTGGTTTTCTCCTTTTTTTTTCCCCAACTTTGGATGGGCTTTTTTTCCCGAGATGGGCTTCTTTTCGAGGCTAATTTTTCAAAAAAAAAAAAGAGGGAGGCTTCTTTTCAAAATGAATTCTGTAAATTTTGTGAATTATGCTATCTTGAAAAGAAGCCCATTTCGAGGCTAAATTTGCAAACTAAAGAGGGTGGGCTTCAATTCAAGATTGGCTTCATCTCAAGATTAAGCCCACTTGGCTTCAATTCAAGATTTTACGGTATTATAATTGAGATAGTGAAATTATACTAGCAGCAGGTTTAATTATAATTACTATTCCTAATATTATGTTACAGACAGAATATTTATCTTTAATTTTTTGGGTATTTAGACAACTGAAAAAACACGTCAAGCCCTTGAGAAACTAGTTCAGAGTAAGATATCGGCAGCTATGCCTGTGAGAGCAGCAGAGAAGCAAGCGCCAGCTCAGTATATAAGGTAAGCACAATACAGTGACCTTTCTGCTAACACCACGGATATTGTTGCTAAGGCTCCATAAAAGATAAATTTACATAAACGTGCATTTGTGGGACACACATGCATTTTTGGGACAACCGCATAATTTTGGCGATCTTGTGATTGGTCAGTTATTGAGTTTGGCACTCCAAAATTTCCGTTGCTGCTAGTTAGTGACCTGTATTTGGGTCTTCCACTGAAAACATATTTTAAATTCAGCATTTTTAGCTACCATATTTTTCTTTCTTTTCTCCAATTAATAAATTTAAAATTCAATATGTACATTGCTTTTGTGTATTTAAGTAATTTCAATTAAAAAACAAAAACATGTTTCTACCTCACTATTAACATCACCATCCTCATCATTACATCATCATCAATATTGTCATTCAATTATAATGGTCTTTTCCATTATTTATTAGTAAATTGTTTTTTGCATTATAATTTGCAGGTACACACCATCGCAGCAAGGAGTATCATTTAACTCTGGTGCAAAGCAACGAGTCATCAGAATGGTAGAAGCCCAGAAAGATCCCATGGATCCACCAAAGTTCAAGTAAGTAAAATCCATCTGCTGAGCTGTGCTCCGGATCTCCATTTGCAGAATGTTGATCGAGATTTGCAATTGTCTTCAAATTCACTTCATATGTTTAATACCAAAGAACTTATATAGAAAACCACGCACTTTGTGTAGGTTACATTAAAATTGTTGAAATGTTCACCCTTATGCGAAGGACTATTTGAAGTGTAGAAACTTTAGAAACAAGCTAAAGGTATAGCGCCGCTCATCAGATGAAGTAAAATCTCTTTATATGGACTCCATCCCCCCACAATCCATTTCAACCAGATGTTCCACTATATCGCGAGCTGCTCTATCTCTTTTATCTTTGTTAATGCTAAAAATATTTACTTCATAGGTACTGTATATTGCCAAGCCTTTAGTTGATTTATGTAGGTCATTAGATCATATTTTTTATAAATTTTTGCAGAACAAACAAGAAGATCCCACGAGGTCCTCCTTCCCCGCCAGCTCCAGTCATGCACTCCCCAACCAGAAAGGTGACTGTAAAAGAACAACAGGAATGGAAGATCCCTCCTTGCATATCCAACTGGAAGAATCAAAAGGTTAGTTTGTTCTGATTTCACAAAACAGTTATTTTTATAAATTTATTTTGTAGATATTTGAATGCATCAACAAACTATTACCTCAAGATAAAATGGAACAGTCTGATTTCTTTCTTGTAGCAAAAATGGCATTAACATTCAGCAACACAGGCTCAAGAAATTTGGTTTGATAGGCTGTGCTCTGGATCTCCATTGCAGGAATGTTGATCCAGATTTGCAATTGCCTTCAAATTCACTTCATATGTTTAATACCAAAGAACTTATATAGAAAATCACGCACTTTGTGTAGGTTACATTAAAATTGTGGAAATGTTCGCCCTTATGCGAAGGACTATTTGAAGTGTAGAAACTTAAGAAACAAGCTAAAGGTATAGCGCCGCTCATCAGATGAAGTAAAATTTCTTTCTATGGACTCCATCCCCCCACAATCCATTTCAACCAGATGTTCCACTATATCGCGAGCTGCTCTATCTCTTTTATCTTTGTTAATGCTAAAAATATTTACTTCATAGGTACTGTATATTGCCAAGCCTTTAGTTGATTTATGTAGGTCATTAGATCATATTTTTTATAAATTTTTGCAGAACAAACAAGAAGATCCCACGAGGTCCTCCTTCCCCGCCAGCTCCAGTCATGCACTCCCCAACCAGAAAGGTGACTGTAAAAGAACAACAGGAATGGAAGATCCCTCCTTGCATATCCAACTGGAAGAATCAAAAGGTTAGTTTGTTCTGATTTCACAAAACAGTTATTTTTATAAATTTATTTTGTAGATATTTGAATGCATCAACAAACTATTACCTCAAGATAAAATGGAACAGTCTGATTTCTTTCTTGTAGCAAAAATGGCATTAACATTCAGCAACACAGGCTCAAGAAATTTGGTTTGATAGGTTTTATGAGGTTAATTGTTTTGTGTTGTTTTATATATTTTATCCTCTATTTTTGCATAGGGTTACACAATTCCTTTGGATAAGCGTTTGACATCTGATGGCAGAGGAATGCAGAACCCTCAGATTAATGAGAATTTCGCAAAACTTGCAGAAGCTCTCTACATTGCTGACAGAAAGGTATTGTTATATTGTTATGTTAACAAAATTCTACTCTTTTGACCTCCTTAAATTACATCTTCCCAAATTCCATCTCCTCAAATTCTTCCTTTCAAAAAGTACCCTATCCTAAATTCCATCCTACATTCAACTGTCTGTAAATTCCACTTTCCCGAATTATATTCTTCATAATTCACATTTTTATATACCCTTGGAAAAAACCTGGAACGTTTTCACAGGTGGCCTTATTAAAAAATATGAAAAATAAATATAGATAATATATCTCATTATGAATGAATATAAAACATGACCAAATTATGAACGGTGTGATGTGAAAGATATCAGTCCAATGTAGCATTTACTTAATTTTTAAAATCAATTTATATTTTTGCTTATAGGCTCGTGAGGCTGTTGAGATGAGAGCCAAGGTAGAAAAGACAATTGCCCAAAAGGAAAAGAGTAAACAAGAAGACAAATTGGTGGCGATGGCTCAAAAGGCGAGAGAAGAAAGAGCTGGTATACGGTCCCATCAGGGAGGTAAGAGTATGAACATCAATGTAAAGATATCCTATAAACATTTATGCAAATTCCAAAATCACCCAATAAAAGAATAAATAGGAAAATATACAGTAGTTATTGTAAAGTTGTTTCCAGACTAATTGATGTGAAGTAGTGGCAGGTCCAGGAATTCAAATATTGGGGCCCAGAAAGTAAGTTATATGGCACTTCTAGATGGCCAGAAATGGCACCCTCGCATTAAGAATTTTTTAACCCCATTTTTTCTTAATTTTGACCCCACTGAACCTGACCCCACCCCATTGAATCTGCCTATAAATACTCTGAGGATTTCCAGTATATGTCAAAGGTTCAGCACACATAGTTCTTACCATCTTACAACCAAATTAGGTGTTATTGTCACTAATTCTCCAATTTGTTCCTTTATGTACAGATCGTGATGAGGAAGCAATGGAGAGGGACCGTATGCGTGAGGATAGACATCGTCAGCGGCAACGTGATCGCAACATTGGAAGAGCAGCTCCAGATAAAAGGTAGGTACTATGAACTCTATTCTTGGGAAATATAAATTCTTTTAAAACCTGTGTGCTATATTGGAGGGTACTTTATAACCCATAGGCATGTTGAACTGTGCTTTGTATCTCTTAGACTATGGAGGCATGAAATTAAAAAAACTAAAAAACATACCTCCATGCTTGGACACAGAACAGGAGGTTTTTATACCCCCATGGGCACATTAAATTTTGCTCATGTACAACATTTTCCTTGTGTTTTTTTTTTTTTTTTTCAAAACAAAACATTATTTACATTTTATTCTATTTTAGTATTTTGATCTCACAACATCTCGTTTTAAAATTTCAGGAACAAGCTACAGCGTGAACGTGAGAGGGATATTAGCGAGAAGATTGCTCTCGGGGTGCCTAACGTAGGAAATCGCTCAGATGATCTTCAGTTTGACCAGAGACTTTTCAACCAAGATAAGGTATAATTTTTTTTCAGTATTTTATGTTACTTTTTAGAAACGATTAGAAATTGCTGCCATTATTTAAATATTAAGTCTGTTTAAGTAGTATTGCTTATAAAATGTTTATGACTGAGTAATCTGTAATTTAAAACTATACATGTCTATTAATAGTAAATATTAATATATAATAATGAACAGTAATATCTTATTAAAATATACAAATCAAGCAATTAAAAACAAAAAATGAATTTTCATGTTTTTAGTAGCAGAATATCTTTCAATGTGGCCTTTTATCATTTTCTTTTCCTGCCACTTAGGGTATGGACAGTGGTTTTGCTGGTGGGGAGGATGAGTCCTATAATGTGTACACACAGGCTTGGAGAAAAGATCAGAATGTTGCCAGCTCCCTCTATCGGCCTAGCAAAAATGCTGACAAGGACATATATGGCGATGATTTGGAGAGAATCATTAAGGAAAAGAGGTATGTATAGAATGTTTGTAAATGTTGGTGAAGAATATTTAAAAATCCTAACAATTTTTGGGGAATTTAGCAAATAGCTCCATGTATTGGAAGGAATCCCACATGAATATATATATATATAATATATGACATATTTCCAAAAACCTGAAAATTGATAATATGACTATTTTCATTAACTATCTGAGTGCATAGCTTAGCACTGTCGGCTAAACTGGTGGTAGCCACTGTGTGTGGGCTGAGATGTGGAAAGCCTTTGGTCTCAGGCTCTGTTGCTTTTCTTGTGTTTCAGCTGGAGGGCTGAAATACAAGTTACGATAGCGCACTGTCTTTCATATGAGATGTTTAAACTGTTAGTCCTGTTTGCATTATGGTCCATGTGCATTAAAGAACGCAGTAACTCTTTGGAAAGTAGCAGGGGATTTTATGCTAGTGTACTGCCCATTCCACCACTAGAAGGATCCCACTGGAAACAAGTCATCAAAATACGTGGGTTATCCTGGGTATTATTAAAATACTTGCTTTCTAATCCCAGGATCTGGGTTCAAATCCTGTGGCACCAATATTTTTTTATCACTACTGAAACCATCTCCATTTACCAAACCTCACAATGAGACTTAAGTTCATATACTTCATTGATTTAAGAAATGCCCTTGCATATCAGATTTGAAGGTATGCTGGAAGGGTTAAAAAATAACTACAAAAAATGTTATTAAGTTTTTATTACATTTTGTTAATTGTATTCAGACTGATTTTAAGCACATTTTTTATTTTATATTTTTCAAGATTTGTGCCAGACAGAGGATTCGAAGGAACAGATCATACCCAGAGACGAGATGGTCCGGTAGAATTTGAAAAGAATGAGGAGGAAGATCCTTTCGGTTTGGACAAGTTTTTGAACGCTGCCAAGACAGCAGACAAAAGGCGGTTGGAAGGGTCTCGTTCCCGAGATGACTACGACAGTAGAAGCAAACGAAAGAAAGATTTTTAGATAATTACAATTATGCTAATATAGAGGTTTCAACACATGTGAGAGATTGTACATTTCATACGTTGGTTTCTAGAACAGGTCTACGAATAACATAATTAACAATTGATATGCCAAGAGCTACTAGTACACATTGTTCAAGCTGAGAATGTGACAAATCCTCTATTGTGAGGGAATGAGCGATGATTCTTACGTCACGCCGGTTGTAAAATCTTTTTTTAAGACCTGGATACTTCACACAGGCATTTCGCTGGTAAATTGTCTATGTACATTGTTAGTTTGACCAAAAATGTCCAGTGTGATCATAAAGCTCTGGCCAGACTATGAAATTTTATTTGGCAAAAACATGTGACACGTCTAAATATGTTCATGATTACATCGCACCATGACCATATATGAGGCATGTTGTGGCGAAATGGTTAAGTTGTCGCACAGGCCAGTATTGAGTAAATGAGCTATAAAATATGGGAGCTCAAAAAATTGCCTAAAAATCCAAATTTGTTTTTCATTATAGATCAACAGTATAATGTCATAATCATGTACCAAAGTATTAGTTCTGGAAGTGGTCAACAAATTGTCTATTGTTATTTTGATAGTTCATTCTATTAAACAATGTATGCACAAATATCTTTGAAAGGCAATTACTCAAAATCATGTTTATCTTGATTCTAAGAGTACTGTACTTTCACTTTCCAATAACTTAGGCTTGAAATGTCCAATTTCAATGAATGGCCCCTCATATTAAAGATCACATACTCGGGTATCTGAAAACACCTTGAATTTCAATTTTTGCTACAACTTAGCCATTTTGCCATAACATGCCTCATATAGGCAAATCATGACCATATATAGGCACATCATGACCATATATAGGCACATCATGACTATATATAGGCACATCATGACCATATATAGGCACATCATGACTATATAAGGGCATACAACAACTTTTTGTCAAATAGAATGCGATAGTCTGGACAGTGCTTAAGTTAGATAGTCTAAGATTTATACCCAGCATGGGCGCAGATCTGTTTTGGAAGGTGGTAGACAGTCAAGTATTTGAGGAAATAGTACCTTTAGATGGCCTGGAAATGACACTCTTATATAGTAAAATTCCTCATCATGCACTCTGGCTGTACAGCATGCTTTTGTTAAAAACCTGGGTCATTTATGGGGTTCATTTCAAAAATTTTCAGGCATCTTTTTTGACTTGATGAAATTACATTGCGATCGAAAAGTGGGGGACCAACTTCACTCCCTGTGATTTAACCACTATATATCTGCTCAAATAATTTAAAGATAATGTGTTGCACCAAATTATCTAGAACTTTCCAAATATCATGGTTTTTGATAATAAATAGGCTTCTTTTTCATGAAAGTTTAGTGAGATAATCTAAAGTAGATTTAAAGTTAAAAATAAAAAATATTTCCCTTACTGAAGTTTGTTTTCATCAGTGAGAGGATTGTAATATTTTCATGTAAGAAGTGTGCATGAATGATTCAGTATATACTGTATTAAGGCCAACTCAGACAGCTTCGGCCGACGCAGCCCGACGCGACAACAAATCGCATCGGGCTGTGTCGGATCTGTGTGAGTTGAACGCAGACGCGATGGTGTGCGTCGGGGGCAGTCGCGTAGTAGAATATTAAACGTGTTTAATATTTCTCACGACGGCTTAAGACTGTCCCCGACGATAAATCGGGTCGGGCTGCGTCGGCCGATGCTGTCTGAGTTGGCCTTTAGACGGCATTACCAAGAGCAGATCCAGAGGAAAAATTTTGGTTTGGGGAAATGTTACATGCGAACAATCGAGTGAAGTGATGGAGGGGTGTGGGTGGGGAGTGTGAGTGTTTAGAGACTTGTTTAGAAAGGCTTAACCATAGACACTGGTATATGGAATTTCAAATTTCAAAAATTAGCTTGTTTTAAAGTATTGTGCTCCCCTCTGCTAATTTATTCCTCATTTTTTCACCTTAATCCACCCCAGATTCCTATAGTTAAGAATCTTTAGATCTCTCATAGATCAAATTATTCAATTCTAAATTAGGTGAGAATAATATGTAAAATTGATCTTCACAACTTGCAGTATATTTATATACTTTATGTGATGAAATAAAGTTAGGTCTTACTGACAAAAAATGTGTCCTGATTTTCTTTCTAAAGGTTTGGCATATACTGTATATACCAAGGGAGTTGTAAAATAATCATTTTATACTTGACTTTCCTATCAGGAAAATACAACACAAGAACCTATATACAGGTATTATGTAAAACCGAGTGATAAACTGATCTGCAGTAAAAACATTCAATCATCACGTCATACAGATATACCGTAAAAACCTCGAAATAAAGCCCTGGGCTTCGTTTTTTTGTTTTTTTTTTTGTTTTGTTTTTTTGCGAACTTTGGATGGGCTACTTTTCGAGGCTACTTTTGCAAGGTACAGATGGGGGCTTCTTTTCAAAATGAATGCTGTCAATTTTGTGAATTTGTATTATGAAACAATAAATAAAGGCCACTGTAACATCAATCTGTATCATGGAGTGTTTTTAAATAGGTTTAAATCACAAAAACTACTCTAATAACTAAGCCTGTTTTAAATTTATTTTGTTTTTTGAAATTCATGAACAGTATATGTACTGTACTATCGAAAAGAAGTCTATGCTATCTTGAAAAGAAGCCCATGTGCTTCTTTTGGGCTAATTTTGTAAACTAAAGAGGGGGCTTCAATTCAAGATGGGCTTCATTTTGAGATTAAGACCATTGGGCTTCAATTCGAGGTTTTACTGTACTATATAAAAATTAAGATACGATGTTTATTTCCATCGAAATCAATAAGAAAAAAAATACAATATGAACATGCACATTATGTTAAATAATAAATAATTGAGATAATGGAGGAGATACAACGAAAAACAAATACAGCTTGTTTAAAAGTTTTCAGTACCACCGTTACGTAACAGTTTAAGAAAATTTAGAACAAGGACAAACTCACCCACACATCACGGAAACAAGAAGCATAAAATGTAAATTTAAAGGTACTGTATTCATGAATATGTTTTCATGTTGAACTATTACATGCACATACTCTAAGTATACACACATTAATTTAAAATAACGGACCTTTAAGAGTCCTTTTAAACTGCGCCAGCGTATGTGCACATTTGGCATGTAAGGCAGACCATTCCATACTTTTGAATCTGAAGACAACACCGTTTTAACCATTTCAACTGGAATTAGGAAATCATCTTTGTTTCTGGTATTATAGTTGTGGTTTTCACGATGAGCAGTAAAAAAATTGTAAAATTTGTACATAAAAATAGCAACTTCATTTATATACATGTAAAAAAATATTCAAAACATTATATTTAAGAAATAATGGTTTAGTTGCACACAGATACGAACACGAATTATTATATACACTTTCCTGGCATTTCCCCATAGTAACAAACTATAATTTAATTTACGGTAGGACCTATAAGCTGTATGATTGATAGAGAGTGAAACCTTTGGTAAAAACGTTTCGAATTTATTAAGAACGCCAATATTTCTAGTTTTTTCCACGTCAATTCTCATCAATTATTCCTAGGAAGGTAGCTTCATGAACTCTATCTAATTTGCACTCATATTATATATAGGCCTACTCACTTATATTATTAGTCTGCATACAGGTGCCCATAAAGTGAGTCTTTTTTTTTGCATTTAATGACAATTTGTTACCACGTGTTGAGCTTTATTTTAATATAATATACTGTCATCTAATTAGCACCTGTTGTGTATCTAGAAGCCTTGAAATGGGGGTGCAGATGAGAGAGGGGATGGAAGTGAAGTGGTGGGGGGCTGTCTCTTATACACATCTAGATGTGTATAAGAGACAGAAAAGTGACAATGTTAAATCAGACTTAATACTTTTGTATTTTGCCGAAATGAATAAAATAAATGCGAATTCTTTTGCTACTAGGCACCAAACTTGACTAAGTGCAGTGATATGTTTTATTTTCATTGAACGTTGCAGTGCTATTTACAATGGGCTTTGATATTTCAAAAAGCAGCCAAGGATAGGTCTAGTATGTAAACCACACTTATAATTTTTACAAATTCAATTTGTAATTGGTCAATGGTAGCTCTATTTGGATTGCTTAATATAAGTTTTTTAAATTGTTAGCTTATAATTTAAAAAAAAAATCAAACTTTTACAAAAACGTGACACAAAAATACAAAACGACTCAGCAGTAGGCCTACATGTAGAATTGCTCAAAAGAAGGCAATGCCCATCTGTCTGGGAGACAACAGAAGAAACAAAAATATGTAACAGAAATATTAAAATAAGTATTTACCTGGCGCTTAAATACTATTATATAAAATATTGTACAATTAATATCATTATTATTGAAATTATGACTATTATAAATTAAAATTAGAAGAGAATTTGTTGGAAACACAGATTGACCCTTTCAATAAAATCGGAGTTAAAACTAATTGCAAGATTATCTTAGACAGCAATATTAAAGTTATCATTTGCCAAACACTAATAAAACTATATTAAATCTTTTTATTACAATTAAAATCATTAAATTAAAACGAGAACTTATAGACTAGTTGGAAATACACTGCTTGACTGATCATTCAATAAAACTAATTGTCAGACCATCTTTAGTACAAATCAATTTGTATTAAAAATCCATAGGCATATACCTTTTTTTTTTTTCTCTTTTTTTTTTTATCCTTGTATTTATTTGATAGACAGCATATGCCTAATAATTTAAATAATTTGACAGGGTTATATTTATAAATAATAAGAAAATGTCCCTTATTTGCATCATTCGCCCTAGCTAAATCCGCACAAGTTGTGTCGTTCGCACTAGTATTGTATTTAGCAGGTGCTCGAGTTATCACGCTCAAGATTTGTACTCTCGCTCGAGTCCTTTCGATTGAGTTGTTCGTTATTTATGTTCTCGGCTGAATTAGTAATATTGTACAGACATATAGATTAAGCTATTAATATAAAAATATATTAATATTATTTTATATATAAATAAATTAATCAAAAAATATTTATATATAATTATATTTTTATATAAAATTTTATAAAACAAAAGAATACATTATGAATTATTTATATAAGTTTGTAATAATTTATGTGCGATGATCGAATTTGCAGCAGACAGCTTGAGCCTTCATGTCGCACAGGCTTACTGCAGATATATAAACGGAAGAGTTCGTGTAATGTTTTTTATCCTTTATGGTTTTTATATAGGATAGGCCTAAAATGAAATTAAACGCTTGTATGAGTAGATCATATAATTTAATCTATATCGATAGTCAATTTCTAGACCGACTTAAGGCCTAAATAAGGCCATGCTAGAGGCTAGCCCTAGCCCCCTAGGCCCTGGGCCTAGGTAGTACTAGTAGTAGAGGCCTAGGCCTATGGTGTCGTACTGCCGTGGTACGTGGTAGTAGAAGCAGTAGGGTAGGCCTAGCAAGTCAAATCGGCAATAAACCCAGGGAGTTGTATTGTATAGTGACAAACCACAACGGCAATAAACCAAAACAAAACGGCAATGATAAGTACCAAAACGGGCAATGACAAATACTAAAACGACAATGCACAAAGGAGAAATCAAGAGGCGCGCCGCCAAGTGCGGGACGAATTGTTTAAATTTCTCATTTTGTCACCCTTATATTGTGTTTCCACAATCTTTTATTTATTGAATTTGTATGTTGTTATGGTGTTATTAGGCCTATTATTATTATTATTATTATATTTTTATTATTATTATTATTTTTATTATTATTATCATGTAAACAACGGAGTCAGACAGTAGTATACATGCTGTTATTATTATTATTATTATTATTATTATTATTATTATTATTATTATTATTAATGTTTTTCCCGTTTTTACTTCTATAACATATTGCTGTAGTCTCATTTTGTGTGCCTTTTAAAGTTTTATATATTTATTTGTTTTATTGCCGTTTTGGTCCATTGCCGTTCTGGTTTATTGTCGTTTTAAACTAGAAAGCAGCAGTAGTAGTAGGCCGAGCTAGACCCTACCCTGCTGACTGGGATTAGGTTTCATGCCTAACCCTAAGTTAAAACCTTAACCATAGCCACTGTGCTATTAGTTGAGCTTATGAGGCAATGTTTAATTAGAACTATTGTAATTTATTGCTATGAATTAAACAAAAAGTAACACTCAGTGATAATAACAAGTGGACAATAAAATTGATTAAACAAAATTATTACTAAAGTTCATTTTCTTCCACAGCAAGAATATGTCTTCTTCAAAGATTTTGACAGCTATTCGAGACATAACAAGATCAAAACATCGAATCGCATGGTTGGTAGGTGGTACAATATCCTCTATTGCTGGAGCAACTTATATTCTGGAAGACAAGAACGTAGATAAAACTTCATTATTGGGATTTGTGCGATTAGGTCGGACTTTCGTGACAGTGAGTACCTTTTTGATACTTCATTTAACCCTCCAGCTAAAACATAGGGGAGCAGAGGATGGAATTGAACCCGGTACCCACACAGCAGAGTTTTTTAATTGCGCAGATGATTAAAAACAGTCTGGCTGAGCTATGCTGAATTAAAATTTAATCTGTATTGTTCCAATCCAAATGTCTCTCTTTATTTGGAATAACGTTTGTTCTATGTTTCAAATGTGAAGTAAAGAAAAACTAATAATCTTTTCTCTTCTGTAGGTAACATCAATTGTGGTGGACTACAAATTGTCGCTGTTTGGTAAGGAGCCAAGCATGTCGGATTACCAACCCACCAAGAATAATGTGAGTTTTGAATGACTTTTGTACAGTTCACCCTCCATCTCGAGATAGACCGACCCCTCTAATTCTGAGACCCCTATAATTCGAGACCACCTTTTCAAAGAACCAATTAACAATCTTCGATCTTTTAACATTAAACTAACCCTCCAAGTGGTGACTGAAGAACAAGACCACCCTAAATTTTCTGGTTCTAAAGGTGGTCTCAAATTTGAGGGCGAACTGTATTTCTTTAAAGCAAGATACAAACATTTTTTAAATCTCGGCCACAGCCAATTAATGGTTCCATAAGAAGCATTAGGAACGTAGGAAAATATTTTTTTTTTTCAAATTTTTCTAAAAATTAAATGAATTCGATTGCTTTGAACTTTTCAAGCAATTCAAATGTTTAATTTTATTGTTCAACTAGCAATTCTAGGATAATAATACATGTTAGTATATGATGTAAAATCTTTTGTTCATTCATTTGGTTATTTTTATATTTAGATCAAAGATGAGAGAATATTTACATAGGTTGTACTATCTTTTAGGTTCACCTTCGGTCAGCTAAGAAACTCCATAGTTTGTGTTGTAAAAATGGTGGAGTATTCATCAAACTTGGACAGCACTTAGGTGCATTGGATTATCTCCTCCCAGAGGAATATGTCAACACACTGAAGGTTCTCCATGACGATGCTCCTCAGTCATCTCTGGATGACATCAAGAAATTGGTTGCTGAGGACTTAGGGAAGGTGAGACTTTGATAATTTTTTATTGGTGCAATATGTGAACAATGGCCTGTAAACCTCTATTTTACACCAGGCAGGAGTGGGCATAAAAATTGGTCGGTGGGCCAAAGTTAATTTTTTATTTAACACCAACTGCCGCACCCAAACATTTATGTTTCCAGTGAGCTTCCAAATGCCTTCATGCACTGCTTTTCTACCACTTTATGCTCAGTTTAATATTATATTTTACAAATGGCCAGTTTCAGGCAGTAAAAAAACAAGGTCTTTTCTAGCTAAAGGCAGTTGGCAGGCTGCACATATAAGGTTTTTAATTGATTTTCGCGGGCCGTAAAAGAAATGGCTGTCGAGCCACACTTTGCCCACCTGTGGTTTACACTTTACTGTGACAAATATTTGTGACTTGCCCATTATATTGTCATAATGATGTCAACACCCTCCTCTCCCCTTCAGATCTTTTTCTAAGCCACTTTTTCCAGGGTGGGTTGACCAACATGAATTATAGTTCCATGATAAATACATGCCTTGTATCTTTTTAGACTGACAACATATTCAAGGAGTTTTCACCAGTGCCAATTGGCACAGCTTCTCTTGCTCAGGTCCATAGAGCAACTTTGATGGATGGCACAGAGTTAGCGGTCAAGGTTCAACATCCAAAGGTCAAGGCTTATTCGGAAGTGGACATGAAATCGATTAGTGTAAGGTCGTACTTGAAGAAAAGTACAGTACTACTAACCTGTTAATGTGCTTCTGTCTTAAGCTTGGTTTCCATACAATCGCTACACGCTATTGCCGACAGTTTTCGGTGATGCTGATTGGTTGGTTGAATCGGTTAGCCTTCCCGATTGTGTCAGGGACTGCCACGCAGTACAATGTTTGCACTGAACGATTTTAAGGAAACCAGGCTATAAGCTCTGTTCACACTATCAACTTTTAATTTTTAATTTTTAATTTAAAAAAATTTAAATTAAAATTTTTTTAATTAAATTTTTTTAATCAAAATTTTTTTAATTTAATTTTATTAAAAAAATTTTTATTTTTTTATTTTTTTAAAATTTTATTTATTTATTTTTTTTATGTGGCAAATAATTGTGATACCCATAATGGGCATGATGATGTCATATTACACCTATAGGCCTATATGGGCACTAGTTTCTATGCTAATGTGATTTTTTTTACCGTAGTAGTTTCGCTGGTATTGGACACAAAATTGAGTTGAATTTGGGTGTGGGCTTTTATACCCAGGGAATCACCTTTTCAATCAAAAAGCAATTTTTTAGCACTACAAGCCTAATTCAAAGCTAAGATTTGTTTAGAGTATTTGTAACAGTCAGCTATGCAAACTCATTCAAACCATACCATGGGCTTTTGCCCAAGGAACGGCTGGTAGGTAAAATTGGCCATAAAGTAAGGGGTGGGCTTATACTTGAGGATTGCTTAGAAAATATACAAAAATGTGGTTTTTTTGTCACAGACTGGCAAAAAAAAAATGTAGATTTTGACCACGCCCTAATTATTAATACCAAGGTAAATTTTAATGTTTTACTATGAAATAGCATCAGACTGACATGCTCTTCAAATTTGATGAACTGTGATTGTTGTTTATTGTAATTGATTAATATTATGAGCCTTTAAAAATTGTAAGTTTATTTGCATTTTAATAAATATTAAAACTATAAAATTTGAAATACTGTACATAAACATTATAACAAAAATATAAAAATTAACAATATTCATCTATGGATCCCGAAAATTCATATTCTAAGCTTTCAATGGATGTACACTTGGATACTTTACTTTAATTTCAAAATATACCAAAACTGAAATAAAAGTTGGGAACTGCCCTACAGTATTAGTATTATTGTTCAGGCTCCGGAGGAAAAACAAATTTTGATATGTTGTAGAACTGATTTTTCTAAGACAGAAAAAAGTTGTTTGACGAAAAACTGGGGAACGGTGAATGAGATACAGATTTTTTAATATTTAAAAACTGGGGGAAAAAGGGGCGTAACTGCCCATTTTTACACCTTATTTCCCCAGTTTTTAAATATTAAAGAATCTGTATCTCTTTCACCGTTCCCCAGTTTTTCGTCAAACAACTTTTTTCTGTCTTAGAAAAATCAATTCTACAACATATCAAAAAAATTTTTTCCCTCCGGAGCCTGACTTTAATGTTGTTGTTATTATAATATTGTGTGTATTCTTCTTAACAGTTTCTACTGAACAGTGTTGCCTGGTTTTTCCCTGAGTTTGAATTTCTTTGGTTAAGTGGGGAGATGAACAAGAATCTACCATTAGAGTTGGACTTTGTAAAGGAAGGAAAGAATGCGGAAAAAGTTGAAAAGCTGCTAAGTCATTTTAAATTCCTAAAAGTAAGTGAAAAACCTGCAATATGATGATGATATATATCTATGTTTAAAGTCTATGTAAAGCTCTCTCCACACTATAATAGTTTTTGAAAGTAGGGTAATGGGGATGTTTCTGTTTTATCTGAACTGATGACCCTAACTTCCTTCCCCCTTTTTAGACATTCAATCAGAGTTCAAACTAGAAAACATTTGGCTGGCACCAGCCAAACCATAAAAATTTGCCTACAAGGAGTCCAACATGTTTGACGAATGTGTCTCAACCCGGAGCCGAATTGAGCCTTGGTTGACGGCCCACGGGAATAAAGAAAATCCTTGACGGGGTTCACAGCGAGAGCTTTTATGGTTTAGTATGGTCTAAATTGTGCTTTTAGACTACAGTACTAGGAATTAGCAATCAAAATAACACTATTTGGATAGGCAAATCATTATTATTTTTATTTTTGATCCGACGAACTAGTCTTGATGTTGGACGTCTGGGGGTCCAGACCCATTTATAATCCCGGATAAAGATAGACAAATGTAGATAAAATGTCTTGCCTAAGAACACAAGTGACTTACACAGTGAGAGTTTTGAACCCCAGACCTCAAGGTTGAGAGACCGAGCCACAACTGTTGCGCCAACCACTTTCTGCTATAATTTTTCTCAATCTACAGATTCCAAAGGTATATTGGGAATTAACAACTGAAAGAGTGCTAACAATGGAGTATTGTGAAGGAGGAAGAGTAAATGATCTAGAATATGTAAACAAGAACAACATAGATGTTAATAAGGTAAGAGGGCCATTTCTGTATGTATACAAGTCATGTGATTTACTTTGGGGGGAGGGGGAAAATGACCCCAGTCACAGAATTTCCAGCAAGGTCGTCGGGGCAAAATCAAATCTCGAATGCTGAAAGTACAATTCAAGCCTGCCTTACTAAACTGTCAAATTATTTTAGGGACTAAAAATTGTTTAGTGCGAGCAGTGCTGCTGTATGTGTGAAGAGTTGTTTACTATTGTGATTGTACGGGTTACATTGGTGGCGCTAGCTCTTCCCCGACAGGGGACTTTTAACTTGCATGGTTTTCTATCAAATTATATTTTTAAGTAAAGATTTCCATAATTAACACAAAATGTTATTATTTTTTAATTAAAAAAATTTGAAAAATTTAATTTTTTTTCCAAATGGGGGGAAGGGGTTGGGGCTATGCTTCCCTGACAGGGGTGTGTGGACCCCCTTGTTGGGGAGCTTCGGCTCCTCGTCGGGGAATTCCTGGCGCCGCCCCTGATTTACTTCTACCCAAGGAATTCAAAGTACAGGTACTGGAACAGCAACATAGAAAAGAATTTTCTTGATAACTTTTTCTTGAAATGTGTTTGTGAGTCTGTTAGCCATATGCAAGACAGATGATTACTGCAAAAGTGACAATTGTTGCAAAACCTTTCCCTAGAATCCAAGAGGTGCATTCTCCACCCCTTTAGGTGGTCTGTTTACAACCAAAAATATATTACACGTTTGTTTATTATGGAGGGTAAATACATTTCAGCTCCTCCAGAGCCTGTATTAGTGGAAGGTGTTATTGGAGTTGCGAAAATGGTCAGTTCCCAAAAAATGTGTATTTAAGTAATAATCTTTATAGATATCTTTTAATTCAATACTTGTCCTGGGTGTTTTGTCTATTTCGACCCCAATAAAACACTACAGTAAGTCTGATTTTCTCAATGCTTTGCTAGTTATCTTTAATACTTCCAATATAAACCATTATATGGTAGCAAATACCAATGGTTACGTATGACATCCAACCAACGGTACGATACATTAGATACGCTGTGTAACCAACGCAACAATACATACGATATGCCATCTAAACCAACGTCACGATTGAACTACAAAACAGTAACAATAGATAATAAATAATGGTACTCTCACAGTTAACTAATCATATTTAAATTAATAAGACTTAAGCATTGGTCCTCATATCCTATATTGCCATGCAAGGCCTATATTAAGAATACATGCTAAAGCGATCATCTAAACATCCAGATTATATTATATAATTTAGTTATGTTTATATATTACTGTATATAATTAAGCCTACTTACAAGGTGTGCTCGGCTATGGGTCGATGAAACAGATTAATCTTAAGATTGAATTTTGAAAGATACTTTTGTATTATTCTCGACATACGCGCATATATAAGCCATATGCGTGTTTGCTGTAGCAACAAGAATGCGAAATAATGCAAGATGCGAAATGGCCATAACATTGGGGGCTCTAGGACATACATTTGGTTGGGTAGGGGAGTGGTTAGTGAAGCTGTCTGACAGGTGGGACTCCAGGGGAATATGTCCCCTAGCAGCAAGAAAAAAGGCACAATTTTATTGCTTGATGAATTATGTGTATTATTACTTATGATTTTGGTTTATTTATCCTAGGTTACAAGGGACCTTGGTAAACTGTATAGCGAGATGATCTTTGTTCACGGCTTTGTACATTGTGATCCACATCCAGGCAATGTCTTGGTTTGGAAGGACTCTAACGGACAGCAAGAAATAATTTTGCTGGATCATGGACTTTACCTGGTACACTATTCAATCTTAGAACAGATATTAAAGGAAAATGTTAAGCCGGGCACACCCTGCAACATTGTTGGCAGAAGAATTTATCTCTGCCCTGTGTGAGCTTGATGGCTGTTGATTATCAGTGGTTTTTCTGAGCAGATGATTATTGAAAATGTTCTGTTTTTATGGAATCGCAATCATTGGCACAATGTGTGCCTAACTTTAATACCCCACCATGTAAAGATTCTTAATTTTTGGTTTGGTAATACATTTTTAATTTGCTAGTTGGATCCCAGACGTCTTCAAAATCTAGGAGGGATAACAACATCATATGTGTCAAAGACAAGCGAAACCAAATTGTGTTTCAGAGATAATGGCCAAAACATTCTGGAATGTCAACATTTTTGAAATATATTTTATTGCACTAAACGAACCTTTATATATTTATACATCATGCTGTTGTTATTTTCTCCATTTTCAATATCAAAACAAAAATTGTTAAGGATTTGGTGACGATTTCTGCCCGAGAAATGCCCAAAATTGTAAACTTCAAAGGCTGATTTCTCAAATATTGTTCTTTAAGCAGCTGTATGTTTTAATGTTTAAACTAGATATACATGATTCTTTTACAATTTTTTGTCCCTCATTCTACTGTTCAACCCTGTGTTGATAAGCAAAAATCAATTTTTTGCAATTAGTGGTTTGGTTTTTCTTTTCCACATATTGTGGTTCATAAAAATGCCTGAATGAACAAGAAGAGTTTATTTGACGGCACTTGTGCAATCAAGTGCAAATTTTTCATATCAAAATAAGAATAATAAATAAATGCCCACAACCACTATTTCAAAACGCAACGTCCAACTAGATGTTTACTGATCTGTTGGCGGATCAGCGAATAAACACTGCTAACCAACAAATGCTTAAGCCGAGGATGTACATGATTTTCTGTGTGAATGTCATATTTGTTTGAACATATTAGTTCCTAAACTGGGCATTTTTTCCAGAGATTTTATAGTCTCTCTTTTTCTTGCAGACTTTACCAAATGAATTTCGATTAAACTATGCCAACCTATGGCAGTCGTTGATTGCAGCAAACTTAGAGGGAATCAAACTGTACAGCCAACGACTAGGAGCTGGTGAACTTTACCCCTTATTCGCATGCATGCTCACAGCAAGATCATGGGCTGTTGTGACACATGGAATTGATCAAGTGGAAAGGTCAAGCAAAGAGGTAAGGGTGTTAGAAATCAACGGCTTTCTACTGTACTGTCATTAAGGCAAAGTCTGAGTGGAAAAAGTGGTCCAGGCCTAAAGCAGATCTCAGTGCATCCAAGGTTATTGCATTGGAGTGGAGGATGGGCTGGAGATTGGGCTACATTTTGAGCAGCTAAAAATAACCATGAAGGTTTGAGGGTCAATAGGGACCAACTTTGGTTCAAATTAATCCTGCCAATAACAGTTACCCCAGTAATGCATAGTTTGCTTAGGATGTGGTATGTGTGTCATTTGGACCTTAGGGAAGTGACATCCTACCCTGAATGCATATTTTTTGTAACTCATTTTTCTTTCTATGTAATTTGTTATTCATTTTGTTTCATGCTATGGATAAGATTCCAAAATAAAGTTGAATTGACAATTAAAACATTGGACTTTTCATGCAAAAGGATAAGTTGTCATCTTTCAATTTTATTGAGACAAAACAGTACTGTAAAACAATTCAATTTTACAGAGTTTTTACTATACATGCTATTTTATTAACACTATTATAAAACGTAGTAAAAATATGAGATTTTAATCTGTAATTTAATTTTTAAAATCAAAGAAAAAAAAATCGCTGTTATGATTTGATAACAGGACAATTAAGTATTCCTTCATCTATTGTCTATTGAAGAGTTAGGAATTCAAAAACTATATTTTCTATTTTATTTCAGGATGATATCATTAAAGCCAGCATAATAGAATATTTCCCACAGGTTTCCAAAATTTTAAATGAAGTTCCACGAGAAATGCTGCTCCTTTTCAAAACAAATGATCTCCTACGTGGCATTGAATACGCGCTGAAAATTCGTAAAGATGCCAGCTCATTTATCAACATGTCACGCTGTTGTGTGCGCGCTCTTGCGATGCACGAAGTTGAGCAATGTGATGGATGGGGATGCTTTGTGCGTGTTCTAGTGAATGCAAATTACAATCTGTTTAAGATACGAGTGTATGAATTAGTAACACGCTTTATGTCGTTACCGCTTATGCAATATATATCAAGTATACTTTGGACGAAGGAACCGTTTGAAGTACAGCCTACCAAAGTATTATTATAACAGCAACATGAACCAGTCAATTCTACAGAACTGATCATAGTTATTTTTAATTGTTTATGCCAATATAGTATGTCAAAGGGGTCAATATTTTCCCCATCATTTTTGAGAGGCTGCAAAACACATTCTCAGTATAACATATACAGTACAGGAAAAATACTGTAGCCTTGTGCTTAAAATGGCTCTTTCATCGGGCTGTAGTCTCACAGTGAACACATATATGATGTTACATTGCAGCGAATTAAAGGTAGTGAGGTCACAATGTTTGTATTTTCATCAAGCATTAATTATTAATCAGCATTTTAGAGAACCACTTTAATTTATGATTAAACTTAACATGACTATAGAAGTTAAAACCAAAATTTTGCATAGCAAATTCATGCTAAGCACATGGCATGAAGATTGTACTGGCTTTTATATTGTAAAATAAGATGATTTTCAATCTAAAATGAATATCTTTAATTTGCCTAATTTTCAGATACTGTAGGTTATAGAGGTTGCTTTCAATTTGCGCGGCAACGCAACTCTAGAACGGATTCACTCATCCGTGACAGTGCTACGTTCTCTGCACAACTTAGATCAGGTGAAATTGCATCCTACGTAATTACGTTCTAGGTCCTATCGTCGTCGTGCAATTGAAAGCTCTCTAATGGTACAGTGGCATCTTTTAAGATATATTGGCAGGGATTTTGAATTGTAATTATAGAAATAAAACAAATTCCCGTTTAATAAATGAGCAATATATTATCTACCTGTTGACTTTGATCTTTTTATTTTGAGATTCTTCTCACTTGTTTTTTCTGTGAAATATGTAAACTGTAATAGTAAGCACAATAAACAATAGAACTTTAAAACATCTCCCTGTCCAGCTATCATTTGGGCTAAAGTTGCATTAAGTCCACAAAGAAACAATTTCCTTACAAGTTTGCGAATTGGACAAAACCAACCTAATATTTACAACGTCACAATGTGTACCGACTAGGCTCTCTACCTACTCTCCCTTCCTCATTCCATACATTGTTTTTACAGTATTTTTCCTCATCAGGATCCGTCTTCATTTAGTAGCATATTTGGAATGCCATTGCTTACTGGAAACTTTCTTCCACTTTCTGGACACACAAGATTTCCTTCTACCACCTCAATCTGCAAAGAACAATAACAATGTCCCTGTTAAATATAATAATAATACAAACTAGATCATAAACTATCTCCCGCAAATTCATAATATTTGTACGTTTTCGCTGCTTTATTATCAATTTTCTCACGGAAGCCTGTGTCAGTGAGTATCACTATATGCAGCAAAATTAAATTAGGTTAAGAAAGCCAACTGAAGCCAGCGCCTGAAGGTTGTCGGTCGACACGATTCTATAAAGAACGCAACATGACTATGTACGCGCAATGGATTGTTCTTAATAACCATCTGTTCAGACTGCCTCCGACGATCAGCAAACGGCGCCACGTCATCTAGCGTTCACGCAGTGAGTGCCTGGCCTTAACCAGATCTCCCAGAAGTGTCTTCTTCCAGCTTGTGAACCTTGCACTAAAACACAGGTACGCAAAATGCGGGCTACGGGCCCCATGCAGCCCAACAGCAATTTTTTTTTTTTTTTTTTGCGGCCTGCGAATGAATTACAAACCTTATATGTGCGGCCTGCCAACCATCTTTGCCTGATACTGATCGTCTGTCAAAAGTGAATAAAACTGAGCATAAAAGCAGTGCGTGAAGGTCTTTCGTAATGCACTGGAAACTTTAAAGATTGGGTGTGACTCTGAGTTAAATCACACTTTCGCTCTCCAACACAATTTTATGCCCACCCCCGCACTATAACAAGCAAATTTACTAAATATCCTTATTCTGTATACATCATTCTGCTTAGCTGTATATGAAATTTAACAGTAATTTGTAGATCCTTGTATGTATTTCCATAAAAGTGTTTGACGTTCCTGACATTGAAATATATTTGTTATATTTTACCCGATACTGTATAAAATATTATATAGTCCTTCACTGAACATCTCAGCAAAAGTATTTCTCTAGTTTTGCTTATGTATATCAGATTCAATGGTACCAGAATAACAACTTAATCTGCTCCTTATTTGGATCAGAAGTGTTTATTTATTTACTATTGTATGTGCTTGTTTTTTTGTTTTATTACAATGTTTGTTTTGCTTTTATTACCTCTAGTAATACTCTGTGAACCTCCTTCAAAAAATCTTCGTTACTCTCAAATTCAGCGATTGGTTCTGGAGGGAGTGCACCCACAAGATCCAACTGTAAAATATATAATCGTAAAACAAACATCATCATTAACAATGCATACATGAACTAAAATACTGTAATCTATATCAATACAATACTGTACTCACAGTTTGCGCCGCTTCAAAAAGAGCTCGCCACTCTAGTTTTGGAATCATCCTTGAAACAAAATCTGGATTGAAATCCACTTCTACAGTTTTGACTTCTTGAGCCTAGTGAGAAATATAGCAAATGCTAGTCGAATCTGTCATATCATTAATCACACAGAACTAGGCCTAGAACTTATTTTATTACTGCCAAGAATGGCATTGCATATTGTTACACCTTTGGTGCAATCTTTCTCGCACTCCTTCCCCCTGTTACAGTTTCCCCTCTTGCCATGGCGGCCCTGACCAGCTGGGCGCTTAGTTTAGAGAGGTAACTGCCCTCTCTTTCAGTGGTTGCAAATCTCCTCACGAGGCTTGAGTCAGGCCTAGGCTCAAGCTCCTTTTCTCTTTGTTAAACAAACACTACTAAATAAATACCTCAATTTTTAGTGGATAGCCATTCTTGACGCCTTTGACATGAGATGTCAGCATGTTATGGGTTAAGAGTTTCATGTTTCTAAGTGTACTTAGACGCATCAAAATTGAAAGAAACACGACTCAAAACAAAAATCTCACATGGCATTCAATTTCTGTTGTTTATATTTATGGAACGCCAAAACGATACAGAATAAAAAAAATATTATTATAGCGTGTCTTTTTGGCGCTCCACACAGGAGACTGTCTGGTGGGCGACTACAAAAATAGAATAGGGCCTAGGTCAACAAATATTGCAAAATGACCGACTGTTTACCAAATATTGGAGATCGAATATGGAGTGATGGTGAAATTGGGACCGTCAAGTATGTTGGTGAAGTAGAGTCAACATCAGGTACACTTCTGTAGAGAAATAAATGCTCAAGTAGCCTAGGCCTAGACCTATGGTTGTCGATGATCCTTACCACGTTTCGAATCGTCCATACAGGCGACCGATGGCCTAGGCCTATTCCTGGCGACCTGAAAGTAGTCCTAGGGCCTAGGTCTAGGCTAGTACTAGTCTGGCCTAAGTAGGACATATTCTCTGTCAATGCTAATTTCCTTTCGTAATCATCAGAAACGTTGTACAATCAATTAAAATTCTGTACTCGGATTTAATATTTATTTTTCGAGATTTGTAGATGGATTAGGCTAGCCTAGCTAGGCCTAGGCTAGCCATGGGCCATGACCTAACCTAGACCTAGCCTAGTTCTAGAGTACATTCTCTGGGGAGTAGTTGAGTTGTGCCAGGCCAGGGTCAGATTACATAATTTCTTAATCTCTTGTAATGTTTCCAAATGTTCAGCATCAGCCTTAAAGCCTACAGTTTTCACTTTTATAAAAATTAAATTTAAAGTTTTAAATTTTATAAAAAAAAAAAAAAAAATTAAAAAAAACAAACATTTTTTCTACTCAAGGATATCTTTGTGGGTATGGGGGAAGGGATGGAGGTATTTGGACAAGAAAGACTATCCTGCCAACCCAAAAACCCTGGCCTGCTGTGATGCACTGACCTTATGTTTTGAAGAAGTGTGTTCTTTATCAAAAATAAACATCAGTAAATTGCAAATCTTGTAAAATTTTCATAGTAGGCCTAATTGTTGATGTTTCAGGTACATGGCTTGGTGTTGATTGGGACAATAAAGAAAGGGGAAAACATGATGGCACGCACAATGGGAAACAGTATTTTGAGACTAGGTAGGTCAGCATAGAACCAGCAATATGAGCTCTCGACATACATTAACTCATTTGATGGAGGGCCACATTTTGCGAACTTTTTTCAGATTTGAATGTCAACCAAGGAATTGTTCTCTTTTCTTCTCCACTGTCCAGCACTTTCTTGGTCTTTTTGGTTTTCTTTTTGCAATGGTTTCTTCTACCACCAACTTTGTATATATATCGTTATTTCATTATTCATATACAGTACTTAGAATGAATGTCTACTTCATTCTTTTTCATGATTCCCAGTTCTATCCTGGTATTTCACTCCTGATTTTCATCTTACTATGCTTTTTCATAGTTCTATAGACATGACATTTCTTCAAGACTGATTTTCTTCACTTCTGATTTTGCATCCATTAATGGGAATGGAAAGGACTACTGTATATCAATTCCAATTTTAAAAGAGTAATTCAGTGTTTTTATGAAATGTTAAATAACAAACTTTAACTTCTTATTGCTGAAAATATAGTTCGCTTTCAAGTGGATCATTTGTGCGCCCCAAAAAAGCTGTTTCAGGGATATCGTTTATAATGGCTCTACAGGAACGTTACATCCCAGAAGATGCGGTGACCGGAGGGATTGAAGAATCCGAGATGTTTGTAGTAGGAGATGGACAGCAAACAGCTGTTGAAATGGTTGGAGCAAAATCTATTGTACAAAGGCAAAGGTATGAAATAATGGAATTAGATTTCTTAAATCATATTATTGCTGTTTAGTAAGGATCCCCATATTTTATCCTTGAGGAACTTTGTTTTGCCATGGCAATGATATCGGTGTTAATACACCCGCCAACTCTCATACATAATGCACGAATCTCAACTCTCATGCATACGTTGTACTATTTCGCACATCATAAAAATGTTTATAAAAGGTAAAATGTAAAGGCTGAATTTGTCATTAAAATGTGGATATAGGCCATATAAATTTCTTTTAACAAAGCTATACCGACTGCTGACTACCATTTTTTTTAAAATAACACAGAGTGCACTCTATTTTGCAATGTTTACATAGAGCTCGCTATATAAAAATTTTAATTTTTTTTTTTTTTTTTTTTTTTTTTTTTGTCTTATTCATCAGATACCAATAAAGTTGACAGGTATATGTTAATATGCTAATATATTTTAATTCTTTTTAGTAACTTTGGAAATCTAAAGAATGCTGCTCTCAGAGACATGAAGGTAAACCGAGGTGATGAGGGCGCTACCATCAGTAAATGCGTTCCAAATTTAAAGGAACTGGACCTTTCAAAGAACCTTGTCAATTCTCTTGATGAAGTTGCCAGAATAGCAGCTCAACTACAAAATCTACATGTGTTGAAAATAAGGTGAGTTGCGCAGCAGCATCAAGTGCTCTTGGTGCACTGATTGGAATTCCTGGTTTCCTTAAAATCGCTACAGTGTTTTCAGTGCAATTGTTTACTGTATAGCACTCCATAACGCAATGGGAAAGGCTCCCCGACTTGACCGACCGATTGTCATCACCGAAAGTTGTCAGGCGACAATGTGTAGCGATTCTATGGAAACCAAGCTAAATCTATAAAAGTTGTTTTCTTGTCTTAATTGTTCTGGAATAGAAGTGATACTGTATCTAAAAATGCAAAATGACATGGAATAAACACATTTTGGAATTTTTGTTTCATTTTAGTGAAAACCGCTTCAGTCTACCAACCAACCCCACTTCTTTGATGAGCTCTTTTTTGAACTTACAAGAACTTTTTCTAAATTATGTCACTTTCACTTGGAAAGAGGTGAGGTTAGTTCTGTAATCACATACTAAAAAAAAAAAAATTAAAAATGATAACACAACATACAAGAAAATATTAACCGTTTTTGTCAAATTTCTTTTTATTCAGGTGGAATTTTGTGCTCCAATGTGGCCCAATGTACGCAAACTTCACATTTGCTTCAACAATATCACAACTGTTAATGAGTGAGTATTTTTATACAATTGAAATAATGACTATTATATACTGCATACATAGATTATAGGCATCTGATTGGTTAAGAAGCGGGCAATAAAACATGCTATTACCTTATGGGATAGTCCTTTTTTCTCTGCCACGCGATGTGCAATCTTTAGGCTCTGTAATTTATGACATCCATGAACGGTAAAGGAGACGCAACCTCTACGACTCTGAGAGAAATTGGCCCTTTGATAGCCTAGCCCTATGAAGTAAGCCTAGTCCTACTTGGTGTGTACTATTTTCATTACTTTTTTTTAGGTCTCGTAGAATCTATGTATGAATTATATAAAACAAAAATTGGCTGCTCTTCAGAGAACGATTAAATCTATAACCCCTCGGTGATGTGGAGACCGCAGCCTATCTTCCCTCAGGCCTTCAGCCCTCTCGGAGATTTCACCATTCCCCTCATGAGAAGTCAATATTTGTATAATATAATATATATATTCTATTTTTCTTCATCTACTTTTCTACTTGGTTTTCTTCCAGGTTTGATGTTACGTTATTCCAGCATGTAGATTTATTGAACCTTGAAGGCAACAAGATTTCAGATTGGAATGATGTTCTCCATTTTGGTCACTTGCCAAGGTACAGTAGAATATAAAATTTTTTTTTGTTGAGCTTAAAGCTTTTAAACATTTTTTACCCTATATTGCGCCAAATGTTTACTAACTGTATTGAGCAGCCAATATGCATGAGGTGAATGATGAAGTATACTGAAGTTATACTTGAATTGAAGTGATAGCTCCATGCATTTTTAGACTTAAGCCACAATCATACTGGACTTTTTTCAGTAAAACTAACCATGACGCTGGTTACTTTTACCATTAGTCCAGTGCAAACAGCCCAGGAAACTTTCCTCTCAGAAAAACTTACCGAGACAAGCGGCTAGTTTAACCATGGACCTTATTAACAGGTCCATGGTTTAACCGAGTAGGATTGCGCCCAGTAAAACTGACTAGGTGCCTATTGGAATATTAACAATGGTCACAGTAAAATTTTCTCATTATGTAGCCCAGTGCAAATGAGGCATTTTGTAGGTCTACAGAAAAAAATAATGATTGAGAGACTGATGCTGATTTGACGCATTTGTGTCTAAATGTATTTAATCATTTTTTTTAAGGCTAGAAGCATTGATTCTAAACAAAAATGCACTGACAAATGTCAAGTTTGATGATGTTGATTACAAGGGCAAGACATCTTACTTCCCATTACTCAAGTCGATATCACTGAATGCCAACTCCTTATCATCTGTAAGTTTAAATACATTTCAGTCATATGATGGGAACTATGTATTCAGTGCTTTAGAAATTAATTCATTGTTTGATTGCAGAAAGGCAATGGTATAAAATTCTTGTTATCTGAAATAACCTCAGTTTAAACAGATCAACTTTTTTATTTAGGTAATTTGCATAGCTCATGGTTTTGGGACATGTTGAAAATAATTTCTTGTAAGACTGTTTCTTCGTCAAAACTTAAGATTTATTTATACAACAATTCAGAATAAACAAAAAGAAAAAAAATGTTTTTATGTCTCAGTCATCAAGATTTGCTACTTATTTTGATTTTGTGTAAAATTCAGATACAAAATAATGATATGCTTTTTTTAGCGCATTGAGACTTCGGTGTAATGCGCTATAGTAAATCCCACTACATTACATTAATGATCTTTTCATATCCATACCTTTGTTATAGTTTGTTGGAACTTCTTGTTTATTTTAGTGTTTTACACTGTGTATACGAGTAATTGAATTTCCTTTTTCGATTAATAAATTTTACTTTGACTTTTTCCTCATAATGTACCTGTTGAATACTAAATATATGTACATAGCACGATTCAGTAATATCTTTCTTTTTAAAATTGCTCACATTATATTCCGGAGGTCTCAAGTCAACCATGAGTTGCTGAATCTCCTGGAAATTTGAATGGCCTCCAGACACACACACACATGGTCAAGCATCTTCTGGAATTTGCTATTTCCAACATGCGAGTCCTGATATTCTGTCACCTATTTTTTTATCATTAGTTTTATTTTTTTCCAAATTCTAGTGGCAGTCAGTAAATGAACTTGAGAAGCTTAAAAGTCTGGAAGAGACACGGACGCAAAGGAATCCATTCTGTGAACAGGAGAAGATGTTTGATACAAGACAGATAATTATCGCCAAGATTGGCAATTTAAAACGATGCAACAATGCTGTGGTAAAGTTCAATATGGTTTGATATTATAATAATAATGATGATGATTATATAACTTCATTAAGCATCGGATATATGAAAAAATGGTGTTGTCGATGTGAGGCAGGATGATCACGACATCAAAAATATGGGTCCCAAGTCTTCTGCGGGAGTCTTCCGGAAGTCGGCAAGGCTCTCCCACATTCAAAGGAGCATGCAAATATCTCTCGGAAACTAACCCACCTCCCGGGAAATTTATTATGCTTGTATGTTTTTATTATTCTCACCCCAGTTAAAAACTACGTGCGGGACTGTGGTTTTCCTGTTCTTTAGCAGTTTTGGTCTTCATTAAAAAACATATTTAAATAAAGATAAATGATAGATTTTTATTTGTGAGCCACAAAAGTGGTCTTCAATCAGATGTGGTCTTTAATTGGAGGTTTTTCTTAATAAGAGGAAGACCTTCATATTATTAGTAGTCTCTCTGATGTTAGCTGGTCCTGGGTATCACTACATGCTGCAAAATAAATTAGTTTGGGATCCTTGCGACAATAATTTGAATGAATGTATTAAAATATTTACCATGATCTTGATTTTTTAAATAATTATTGATTTTATATGATCTTAATTTTTGACTTTCATTATTCTATGTATTAAAGCTTTTTGTTCTTCTTAATCACCTAGTATTTATTCAAAAGAATTTTTAACAGCTTTCATTCATTTTTATGTATACATCAAATTTGCGGATCATTAAATATTATTTGACTTGCCAAAGGCATCTGTTAATGAAAGGAGAGGTGCTGAATTGGATTACATCAAGACATTTGGCAAGGACTGGAGAGCAAGTGGTGGACACCAAGATCCAGAGAAGAACAAGCCATCGGTGGAGTTTGAAACAAATCATCCTCGTTATAGGCAGCTTACAGAATGTAAGTTAATTTCTTGCAGCATTGTCAGAATGCAGTATTAAGGGGTAAATGAAGCCAGTATACTCTCAACCCTCTTATCTCTCTGACTATGACAATTGACGATCTTTATGTCCCCAATGCACCCCTTCTTATACCTATTCCCTCTTCACATTCATATTCTGTCATAATAACCCTGTTTGCTCAATGGGAATTAAAATATTGTTTTAAGGACCCAGCTACCATGTTTTGCAAGTCACATTAGTCTTATTCTTATGTATAATTTCTTACTGCCTTTTATCTATCACTACAGTGTATGGTGTTCCAGAAGATTATGAATTAACAACCAAATCGACTACTTTGAAAAGCAGTTTAATCCAAGTCAATATAACTTGTCAACAAGGCAATACGACAAAGACAATACAAAAGAAACTACCAGGTAATTTAAAGTATATTTCATAAGACACGTTATACAGAATCACAGCCTACATTTTCCACCGTTTGTATATACATTCACCCTCAAATTCGAAATTCCTCTAATTCGAGACCACATTTTCAAAGAACCAAATAGTCTTCAATCTTCCATCACAAAGCTGACCCTCAAATTCGAGACCAAACACTGAGACCACCTTAAATTTTCAGGTTCCAAAGTGATCGCAGATTGAAGTACAAATTGTTTATTGTGTAAGCGAATTTTGTGTAAGCTTTTACATTTTTTATTTTTTAGCCTACGCTGAGGGAGAGGGCTTATACTATGATTTTGAGCGAATGTTGATGTCATTTCTTTTTCTATCAAGGCCTTAATTTGTGACTCCATTTTGTGACTGATTTTGCAATGATATAGAAGAAAATGCTTGGGAAATTTAAAGTATGGAGAGTTTTTGCGAAAATATTGTTGGGAAATATGTGAAATTGTATGTTTTATATCATATCTCTTACCATTGCAGTGGGTTTCTTAAGAAAGCGTGTTCATCATTGGTCAGATTGCAAATTACCTGTGTATTCTATATTTTGTATCTCAACCAAAAGAATTGTTTCAACTGGGGTTCTTTGGGCAGTGTGACATAAAAATGGGTCGGAGGGCCAACCACCAAGAATTCACTAGCAAGCTTATGGTGAAAATTTGACATTTTCAATGTGGTTACAAAAACCTTTATACATTCCTATCATAATGCTCAGCAGGGCTTTGCCATATGTCTGTGACATACAGTAATTGTTGAATAAGACCTTTTCATTCTGTTGTTTTACAGGAACAATGAATATACAGAAATTAAAGAGCTTAATTCACAAACTGATGAAAGTTGACATTGCATCACAGGTTTTAACATACACCAGTACAAAGGTAAATTTATATTTACTTGTTATAAAAATAATTTTGCTTTTACTATTGTATGTTTTGAGTCACCATACAATGGTAATAACAGTTGCATCTGTACAAGACAACTTCTTAAATCTAGGCTCGGGAGAAAAATAATTATTTTTGTAAGACACAAAAAGAGTGTTTGACGAAAAACTTAGAACGGTTAATGAGATACAGCTTTTTCCACCTTCTTCCCCCAGTTTTTAAATATTCAAAAATCTGTATCTCATTAACTGTTCCCAAGTTTCTCGTCAAATACTCTTTTTGTGTCTTAATGTTTTGCTAGATCTACTAAAATTATAATTTTTTTTAAATTGTGAACAACTTTTACTTGCCATTTATATTTATTTATTTACAAACTTTTATACCAATATTTTAATAAATGTATGTATGATGGATATGAACTAAAATGACATTAGAAACTCATTGCCTTTCAGCTGAAAGATCAAGAATTTGAACTGAATAATGACATGCGTCCTCTATCGTTTTTTGGCATTGAGAATGGTGATACGATACAAGTAAAATGGTGATGAAGATGTTTATAAGATTAGCTAGTGTGTGCAATTAAATAGACAAATCAGAACCAAATATATGTGCTTAAACTGTTGGTGTTGAGCTAGAAAAACTTGAATAATAAAATTAAATATTTAAATTGTTTTACATTTTATATTAGGTTGTTAGCTTTCTGTTGAAAAGTAGAATATTTTCATGCTTCAGAGATAATGGCCAAAACATGCTGGAATGTCAACATTCCAAACTAACCTTTATAACCTTTATCTATACATCATGCAATGTTGTTATTTTCCTCATTTTCAATGCTAAAACAACAATTTATAATGATTTGGTGATGGTTTCTGTCTGAGAAATGCTCATAATCGTAAACTTTGAAGGCTGATTTCTAATATTTTGTTCTTTAAACAGCTGTATGTTTAAACTACTGTAACTTTATAATGAAATGTCAGGTTCAAATTATTCTTTTACCGTTTTAGAGCTCTCATTTTACTCTTTACTGTAACCCTGTACTGTACTAATAGTTAATGAAAATCAATTTTTTGCGAGGAGTGACTGCTTTGGCTTCTCTTTGCCACAAATTATTTCATATTTATAATCTTTGCATAAAGTTGGCTAGGGAATTAAAAAACTGTTTGGATCTGTTTCATAGGAAGTTAAAACCAACTTAAAAATGAGTTGAAACCAGACTTCTGGGCTCACAGGCCCGGTGTGCCCATTTCTTTTTCTTTGGCGTATTGGGCCAGACTTTCCAATGCTGTGTGGGGATTACCACTTCTTTGCATAGTGCACCTGTTTACCTTCTCAGTATATGTTTTGGTACCTGTGTATACTCCTGGGGAGCTGAGACAAATATAGATTGTCTTGCCCAAGAACACAAGCAACTTGCGCAGTGAAGGTTTAAACCCTGACCTTATGATTAATTGCATGACTTACAAGCCTTGTGCCAAGCTCTTTCACCTAATTGATCCTTTTTGATAAGCAATTTAATGTTTTAATTGAATTTTTGGTAGTTTTTTAGGCTTAATCACTGACAGTTAAAATTAGATTGTATAAAGTCTGATTTTTATGTCCATTTTCACCTTTACTTAATTTTTATAGCTATATTTTTGATTATCTGTGTGTGGAATGTGATTGGTATATACATTTGAAATATTTTTATTATTTTTTCTTCGTGATATGAATAAAAACAATTTAGGCAGTGGCTATTGTTACACCAGTGTTAAATAAATTAATAATTCTGATGGATGTTATTGTTCTAATTTAATCCATACAATAACATTTGGTAACAATACCTCTTGCCGGCAATATATTACATCATATTCCTCGTAGTAGTGGACTCTTTAAGAAGGGTGTAAAGCTGCTTGGGGCCCTCATCTTTAATTAGAATTAGAAGATGAGAACAATCAAAATTTGGGCTTAGCAAAAGCTATTGTTGCAGGTGCTTTGTATGGGTTTTGTATGTTGAAGAATATTGCTTGGTTGTGCAAAACACTTTATAAGTTACATTGATGCTACTATGGAGGTCTATTAGAATGTGGAATATATAGGTCAGGTTTTTACAAAATAACCAGTGCTAATATTAACATTGTAATGTAGTATAATGGTACGGTACAGTATGTCAATATTTACCCAAATGTGGAACAAATCACTTTGAAATTGGTCACCTTTTGTCATATATTATTAAATAATATTAAAAATAATAGATATATCAATATGATATATTTTTTCATCATCTTTTTTCAAATTGCATTAATAATTCATATTTTGGTTTTGAAAATGATTCCATTGATATTATACATCAATCGTGAAATAACCGATGCGCCAAGTATGCTATATTAATCCCCAAATTTAAGTTTTTATATAGCGATTCTATAATTATCTTCATTCCGGAAATAGACAACCGTACAGTATATATTACAATAATGTGGTGCAAGTAAAATGAAGGATATTGCATTCAATATTGACTGAAGTGATTATATTACTATTATACTAAAAAAAAAAACAGTTCTAGGCATAAATGCGCTCATTACAGCTGCAATATTATGCAATTCTCTCAAGGAATTATCTCACATGAATATGTGTTCCATATGTGCTTGAGCCAATGACCGCAGGTAATAATGCTAAGCGCATAGAGTCGACAATTATTATAAATAAAACAAGTAAAAACTGCAATTCACAGATTAATATCCTTTAATACAACAAGCTTTCACATCCAGTGAATTTTATCAGGTCACATGGCTGTATAAGACAATTAAACCTTGATACAAATAGTTGATTTTGTCTAAATTGTTTTTCTCTTGTTGCCCCACTTCATCCTTATGGCCAGTAGTCCTCTCAACATCATCTTGAAATGTAGCCATCATCTAAGTCAGTAGGTAGTTTTCAATGTCGCTAGATTCTAGCTTTTTAAATTCAATGGATACACACCTGTATCTCACTTGTTGGCTTAGTATTCTATTTTTACATTTATATGCCACCTCATACCCACTTCTGAGACATGGTTTAAATATTTTATACTTGCAACTGACTGCTACTGTATTGCAGTATAAATTAGCTCCAAGTGGAAGCGGACACAACTTTTAATTCAACATCGTAAATGCCGTCATAAAAATAATAGCATTGAACCTTTCAGGAGTTGTCAATCAAGCTTAGCAAATGACCAGCCTAGAATATGCACAAATCCCACAAACATACTTTCATTTGGTGAGGCCTTAGGCAAGACTTTTTTTAATACCTTGTTTCGTAGGTATTTAGGCAATACCTTTTTTAAATACCTTTATTAAAGATCGTCAGTGGAGGGCGTAAAAAAATAAAAATAAAATTTTATTTGGTGAATGTAAACAGTGTAGTAATGGTATGGTCAAATGCTTTGAATTTATATTATTAGGAAAAAATGTACATTATTTTTGGAGGTTTCAAAGCAGCGGCAAGCGTAATAAAGATAAGGGAAAACCTTCATTTTTTTTCTGAAATTTCCAATTTTTCGTGTCGACTGGTGCGTTAATTAGCCAAAAATAAAATTTTATTTTTAATTGAAATCATTATTGGCAGGCGGTGGGTGCGCTAAACAAGGTATAAAAAAAGTCTTGCCTTAGCAACTGTATCCAAGGGGGCAATGCAGGGCAGGGCGTAACAGACTGGTCAAATATGGTCATTCCTAGATGCCTGGATCACACTTGGAAATTCATCTGGTCACCTTGTCTCGGACAACAAGAAATGTCACCTTTTTGATGCTTTATCCATTAAGAGAATCGGCTGCAGTATTTTTGACATATTTGTTTCCAAGATATAACCATTGACGATCATTTCATCAAGGATGATGTGTATCTTCTCTAAGTTGTAAAAAATCTTATAAAGATTGTTAATGAAAATAATAAGTGCAAGGTAACAGTTGCTAGGTACATTTCTATATTTTGATTTTAAATTTGGTAATTGTATAGATTGTCTCAGATAATTAAATTATCAATTGATTAGTGGGATTGCAATTAATTTTTTTTACAATTAACCATTAGGTATTAATATGTAAAGGAGTATAACATAATAATAAGGATATTAACACAGTAGCTATTGATTAAGATTTGTGAATTTTATTTTTTGTAAAATACTAATTTGTGTATTGCCAAATTTGACTAAATTTACCTCTTTTTTTTTTTTAAACAAAGGATACATCAATTTCACTCTGAAATAAAATGAAATAATAAGTGTTAATAACAACAATATAATAAATTACTAATATTTATTACAATTATTGAAGATTGGTTAACAAAATATACAAGTAAAGAACAAATTTTTAAAAATGTTGCTTTATATGCAGACATAAGTGTAGTAACAACATCCATAAAATATTATTTGTCTCATGCTTGGGAAAACTCTTAGACAAGACTTAGTTAATACCTTGTTTAGTGAACTTATCTTTTTAAAAATCGTCAGAGGAAAGCGGAAAAAAAATTGTTTTTCTTATTTAGCAAAATGATGGACGTTTTTTTTTCTGAAATTTTCAATTTTTTTGTGATGCAGGTTTTATTTTTATTCAAAATTACCATTATTGGCAGTTGCAGTGTTTGCTATACAAGATTCAATAGTGTATGTGTAAGCTGTATTTGTTATATGTGTAAGCTGTTCAATAAATTGAACACCATGCCCTAATCTTACAGCCCCGCTTTATGTGTACAATAATTACAGTATGGTAATCTTTCATACTTACAACTCCATCAAAGTACTTATTTAACGTCTCTATGAACAACTGAATCAACTCGAGGCTTGCAACTTCATTCTGATGGATAAAAAAACATCCACTAGTGAATATATTTTTATGCATGTCCATTTAATCAAATCCTACCTGGTCAACTTTAATCAGCAGTATATAAAATAAGATAATTTCTTTTACAATTGCACCATTATTACTCGAAAAATTACTCATCTAATAAAAAATATTTTCATAATAATGCTATTATCGTTTGTGAGTATTCAGTGCGATAACATGTCAAGTAGGGAAAAAAGGCAAAACATTGATCTTAAATGCTACTATAATTATTTTCATTTTTATTCTTAATATTATATACTGTAAATATTTTTAAAAATATTAAACGCTTAAAAGTAAATACACTACTCACATTTAATTAACAATTATAACTACTGTATAAATATTGTTTATGGTTATTGCTATTATTACAACTATTGTTGTTGTTTTAAAGTTTAGATTTAATCAGAAATAGGTACTGCCTAATAATTTTCATTCCAATAATTTTGTTCACAAATTCTCACCTCTTCTTCATCTATAGCTAGGATGACAAATATCGAGTTGTACCGGCGGTACACAATCTTATAGTCTTGGTAATTAAAGAAGGAACACTATAATAAATAAAATATTAAAACAGGTACTCTAGTCTATGCCAACATCACGTATATGTATTAAATTGTATAAGTTTTAATCTTACCTTTGGCCTATATTACATAAAATGGTAGGCATCTAAAAATGGCTTATTTTGTGTAAGATTTGGTAATATGCATGATAAAATAATAAATATTATTAATACAATTTTTCATATCATTTAATGTTATGTATATGATGTAGAGTATATGTATATGTAATATATATGTGTGTGTATATTTCATATACATTATTACGTAATATGTAATACACACACATATATATTACATATACATATACTCTACATCATATACATAACATTAAATGATATGAAAAATTGTATTAATAATATTTATTATTTTATCATGCATATTACCAAATCTTACACAAAATAAGCCATTTTTAGATGCCTACCATTTTATGTAATATAGGCCAAAGGTAAGATTAAAACTTATACAATTTAATACATATACGTGATGTTGGCATAGACTAGAGTACCTGTTTTAATATCTAGATTTACATGGAACATTGTCGTAATATCGACTGAGACGAGTCTGGCCTTGCTTGCCAAGTATGTAGCAAAACTTGATCATCACTATTTACATTCTTCCAAGCTTTATGAAAATAAAAAACAAAGTAAACAATTTTTAAATTTTCCCTCACAGCAGGCAGGTTGAAACTTTAGTGTGATTTTCAAGAAGAGTTTAATGGTGCACGCTGAACAACACACTTAATGTCAATCACTTTCTATAATTTATTAACTAATGCATTATTAAAATAGAATATTTATTGTATGTGTATGAGGTTTATCTGGTATATTAAATTCCACTGATATTTGTTGTGAAAACTAAAATGAAAATCATGTTGTAGGCCAATTGTGAACATAATTATACTAAATTAAGATCTACCGGTGCTTTGATATGACAATGACAATGACAAAAATATTTATTTCCATTGAGCATGAAAATTTACGAAAAATATAAATGTACAACATTTTTAAAGATCAAAGAAAATGGGAAATTCCTGAAGCATAGCTTGTAAATGGAAATCCCAAGTTACACAATTAAATATTTCTTTTACATATAAGGTTCAAAAATAATTCAAAGGCCTATTTCACTTAAATTAAAGAAGTTTAAAATTTAATGGAAAAATTCTATTTCTTTTCTGTAAATTATATTTTGTATTCATTAATAACAAAATCTTAATTACTTTTAGTTTCTTTATATTTATAGACGATTAAGCAATAAAGTAAGTACAGTGTTTACAATCTAAAATAATATAAGAGAAAATTTGTAAATAATAATTTTAATCTGACTTCCTATAACTATATTCTAATATCTTCTTACTAATAACAGCTAAGTTTTAATAATAAAATAAACTGTTAAATCGTTATACATATATATATACACCTATATTACAGATATACCTATATACTCATACATATATATATATATATATATATATATAACATTCATACCCATATACATACGTACACACACACTCACACATATACTTCAAGGAAGGAATAATATAAATCATGCAACATATAAACTACCGGTATGTGTAGCCCATGTATGTAGTATATAAACATAGTCCAGTATTTTATATTAATATCATATATTATAATTTATTATTTATTAGCATAGCATACATTCTTATGAGAAACACCACCTTACACCTGCATCTTGAAATGGTTTAGCTGGTTTAAACATCCCGTTAATCTCTGCAATACAAACCTTTTGGTTGACGCATAAACAATCTTTCAGAAAATAAGGTAAAATTATACTTTCTCCATCTTCTGTTTATCTATTCAATCATCAACTCCTTTATTTATTGTTTTTTTCTTGTATATATTTTGTACCCTCTTTGTTTTGTACTTACTGGGTCTGGCTGAAAAGTCTAAAATTTGAACACCGCCCCCTCGTATTCTTTTACGATTATGCTTTACATCGTATCCACCTAATGAGTTACTATTCTTTTGTACAAGGACTGTTATTGGCTTATCCGATATAAGGTCAAATAATTTGTGACACTTGTTTAAAAACCTGATGACGTGAACGAGAAATTAAGAAAGCAAGTTATATTGTTAATTTTTTAACTGGTTCTAACCTTTTTTAATTGGCCTTTCTTAATACCAGTCAAGCTGTATGTAAAGTAAGTATTTGTTAATTAATATGTGTAGTTTATCACACAATAATATTCAATGTCATGATAGCACAGCTTGTGTCGGATGAGATTAGTTAGGAATCAGGATGTGGTCCGGTTGAGCCTGGCTGACTGAGATTAGGCTAGGCTGCTAGGCAATCCCGACCGTAGTCAGCCATGCGTGCCACCGGCATAAGTAAGAGGGCTTCCCTGTGTACCACTGCCACCACCTAAGCCTAGATTGTTAGAAGAGCTAGGCCTAAAACGATTGTCTGAAAATAAACAACAGCTTACTTATTACCATGTATTGTAACTTTATGTAAGGTATATTTACTAAACCAAACAATTAAAAAACATGTGTGCTTTTTTTTTAATAGAGATTATTGTGATGGTCAATAATAACTAACATTTAGTTTTTAGAAACAAAACTATGACTAGGCCTACTAATACTAGTGTGTATGATTAGATTTCCAGTCATATGTTCCATTAACAGAATGTAAAATATTTTAATAGGCCTGCACGTTTGAAACATGTCAACTTGGCCCCACATCGATTCACCTTTCATATCAACTCACTCAGCTTCAAGTCAACACTCTTACTTACCATTCAGCTCAACCTAATGTCAACTTGGTCCCATGTCAACTCGTCTCCAAAGAGTCAACTCTGGCCCCTAAATCAACTCTAACACACCCAAGACCAACCCATATTCTTGCACTTAATGATTTCCAGTTAAGTGTTACAAATGAATGAATGAAACTATGATTTCGGTATATTAAATATTTACAATGAAATGTACAAATAAAACCCATTTTTAATTTTTTATTGTTTTTGGTCAAACTCCTTTTCTATTACTTTTGAGAAATATTTTTTTATTTGCATAATAAATAGGACTGTTGAAAATATTTTGATCGATTTTAAATACAAAGGCAGTATGATTTTGGGGAATAAAAACAAATGTTGTTTACAAGGAATTCACACATTAAGAAATGTTGAAAGTTTGTCAAATACTGAACTGTTGTGTCACCCTGTTAGATGTTGTTGATGAATATGATATTTTTTTTTCATAGTTTGGATCTTGTCTAGGTTCTGGGACATGACCAATGACAGCTAGACGTCGACATACGCCCACCGAAAACAAATCAAACGGGCAAGGAGGCTGGATCGTCTCCAATTTTAATCCAACCAATAATCATCAACCACTTGAAATGACGTGTCGAGATCGAACCAACGAATTTATGTCTGCTGTTAAGTACATGCAGTCCAGAACGGTAATATCATTATTTATTTAATCTTATTATTTTTTTTTATTGTATGACACAGTATATAATTATAATAGTTTTTAAATTTGTTTTTATATAATGGATAATTAAAATTTTTAAAATTAAATTTTCCTTTCTTGTCAAATTCTAAATATTTAAACTTGGAAATTTTGGCTGGGCCCCTGCAGAAGCCACACTGCAGCGCCCGTCCCAACATATAATGGATACATTTGAGGAACAGAAAGATCTGACGCCCATTAAAACCAGACGATGGCCAGCCAGGTTTGAACCCGGGTCTACAGCCTTAAGAAGCAGGAACATTACCTCGCAGCTAATCGCTTAGCCTACAGTAGATATGTCAAAAGCCTCTCTGCACTTCATATAAAAATATTACTATATACTATAGTACAGTACTGTAAACTATTATATGAATTTGTGTTTAAAATATTGTAGAGTGTTTTGAATGTAATTTCAATTCAATGTATATTTAGACCTTTTGTAAATTACCTCTGCTATCAAAGTAAGTTGTCCATAAGATAGTGGCCAGCATAGAGACTCTTGGGAGTGCAGTGTGCCCTCGTCGCCCCCATTTAAAGACTAAATTACAGCAACATTGAAGAAATGAAAAGAAGTAAACTTTTTTTTGTATAATGTTGCCTCTGTTAGTATTTTTTTTCCTGCTACGCCTTCTTGAAAATGTAATCATCTCAAATTTTACTCTCTCCTGATTGGATGAGGTTGTCACCCACAGAACATTAAGACAAGTATAGAGTAATAGTGGAAATTTTTTGAGATCCTTAAATACACAGTTGTTTGATGGAATTGTTCTTATAGGGAAATGGAGTCACAACAATCAATCGGCAGACTGCAAGACAAGTTCAACATAGTGATTTTATGAGAATGGCCAAGTAAGTAATGTTGTGATTCACTAAAATACGATTGTGTTTAGCACACACAAAAAATATACTTTGGCTTAATAATATAGAAAAGTTTGCTCCATTTGTTGTAAAGGAGAAGTAATATGATTTGAAAACTGATATGCTTTCAATTAATTATATTTCTCCTGGTCAATTAGATTGTTAAGATATTTACATACATTGAACTATTTTTTTCGAGGCAAATCATCAGGTACTCATCTTCTTTTTTTTCAGGCATATTGGCAGTGACATCAATCAAACATTTACAAAACTGGAAAAATTAACAATATGTAAGTATTAATTATAATTAGGATTTCTATACTAAAAAATTATGTAATTTTTAATCGGACCTAAACCAATCCACACTTTTCCCACCATACTTTTCCCACCACATTGGAATCATGCCATTGTTTTTGGCTTTCCTTTCACCTAGCTAGAACAATGCCTCTTTACATTGATCGATAAATTATTGTTTTAATATTTTTTATTTCAGTGGCTAAAAAGAAATCTTTATTTGATGATAAATCAGTTGAAATTCAAGAACTGACATATATAATTAAACAAGATATTAACAGTCTAAATAAACAAATTGCAAAACTTCAAGAGGTACGTATATATATTTTTTAATAACTTCTAAAAACTACCACCAAAAAGAAGTCCTAGTGTAGGCACTATATAAATTATCACAAAATACAAGTACATGAGTAAAGAATAGGCTCCCAGCGGGAGCGTTTGTCTACTGCCAAATTTAATAGAAACAGTGATGTCGAAAGTGATTAATGAAATAATAGTACCTGATAGATAATGACGAATTGGCTTGCAATGCATCGTACCACACACGACCAAGTTTACGGGTAGTAGTAAAATCACGTTATATCACACATCACGAATAGGATTCTTACTTCACACTTTTGTGAATGTGTCAACTCGCGCTCACAATGTCAACTTTATGCTTCCAGATTGACCAGGATAGCAAAGTGTCTACTGCCTGGGCAGTAGACACAAAAATTACATAAAAATCGAATGAGAATAAAATTTACAAAAGGTACAATATTCAAAAAATACTATTTCATAATTATAAAAACACACAATAAATTTGAATTAATTAAGCACAGGTACAAAGTACAGTTAAAAGTACATGGAGGAAAACCACAGTGTTGGTAGCTACTGTGTCTGCACTGAAATGTGGAGAACTCTTGGTCCTTGGTTCAATTCCCATCGCTGCTATCCTTGTATTTCTGCTGGAGGGTTGAAATGCAAGTTACGATAGTGCATTGTCTTTCGGATGAGAAGTTTAAGTCATTGGTCCTGTGTGCATTATGGTCCATGTGCATGTTAAAGAAGTAACCTCTTTGGAAAAGAGTAGCGGATTGTCTCCCAGTGTACTGCCCAATCACCACCAGAAGGACCCCACTGGAAGTCTTCTTCAGACTTTAGTGGTTATCCATGGTGTTTACACCGAATAAATAAGTCCATCCATCCATCCATCCGTTACAGGATTCCATACAAAAATTTAAGATCTGGTATCTTTGGTTTTAATTATTTGCTAGTCATGAAAGAATCTAATCTATAGAGGGCAGTATTCATAATGTTATGTGTATTTGATGAAAATATAATACTGTATAGAATTTTTCTTTTATAAAAGTTTTTTTATGACTAACTTTACACCTAATTCTCAATAATTACTATAGTTTTTCTGATATATCTTCCAGTTTGTGAGGCGGAATAACTCTCAAAATGGCCGACAAATGCAAACACATTCCAACACAGTGGTTCTGGCATTGCAATCAAAGTTGGCGAACATGTCCAACGATTTTAAATCAGTTCTCGAAGTACGGACACAGAATCTTAAAGATCAGAAGGACAGGAGAGAACAGTTTTCACAAGATCAGCTGACGACGAGTCTACCACCGTCTGCTTCCAGCGGAAATAGTAAGAGCACGCCCTCAATGTTGTATATGAGTTATAGTTATTTCTTATTATTTATTGTAACTATTATTATAGTTACTTATTATATATGTAGGTTATTTAATTATAACTATAGTCATGTCATTTTAGGGGTTTAGCCAGAAAAATTAAATAAGCCGTCCAAAACATGCATTAGTTTAAATGCAACATTTGAAAGATTCGAAGAATATAAATAATTTGCTAAAGTAGACCAGGCCCAACTAGGCTGGACGGAGCTGAGTAGGCCAAGCCGTAAAAGTGGCCTCCCTAAATAATTGTTGGCCTTCTAAAAGACGACCGGACGGCTTGCTGTCTAAGCCCTTGTGTCATTTGTATTTTAAGACTATTAAATATAAGACCGTTGTACATAGAGTTAAAAGAACAATTATTTAGTAATATCTTCAGAAAAATTTGCATAATGAATTATATATTTAATATCCTTACTATTATAAATGTTATTAGCCCGACTAGTAGTAATGTTTTATTTGTACAGTTTGCCCTGCACTTTAAAACCCCTCTAATTCTGAGATCCCAATAATTTGAGATAGTTTTTTAAAGACAAAGCTAGCCCTCTACTGGAGATCAAACTCCCAAGACCACCCCAAATTTTCCAGTCTCAAAAGTAATCTTGAATTGTAAGGTGAACTGTATACAATTTCGTAGAACACAGAGCGACATAGTGCATTTCGATAAACTGGCAGTAATGATTGTATATGTGCTGAACCATAGAGAAGTTTGTGTCCCAATTTCTTTTCCATCAAGCTGTTCTCCCTGTGGAATATAGGTTATAACGCACGTGTCATTCAGAATAGACATTTAAACCCTTGGACCTTCACACAACGTGGACATGGTGCTGGGCTCTTTACAAACACAGTATGCCCTTTGGAAAGTAGCAGGGGTTCCCTCATGCTTGTGTACAGCCAAATTCAACAGGTTTGTCACTGGGGTCAACATTCTAGTTACTCAACTATCACCAACTTTACATCATTCCATTGTATTGATTGTCATTCTGTTGCCTTTTCTAGTACGATCGGTTCTGGTAGATGATGAAGCTGCCAGTCGGGGTGATGCTGTTATAAACATGCCCTTTGACAGACCTCAACAGAGCTCAATGCAACTTGTTGAGCAACAGGACACGTATATTAAGGACCGTGAAGAAACAATGCAAAATATAGAGAGTACAATTGTTGAATTAGGTGGTATATTTCAACAGCTGGCACATATGATCCACGAACAGGAGGAACAAGTTCAAAGGTTAGTTTCATTATTTATGTGCATTACCAAGTAATAGGCATAATTAAGTACTTTGACTAAGTTTTAAGCCTAGGCTAGAAAAAGAAATAATTGATCGCCCAAAGCGCCTCAGAGGTTATTTTCAAGGGTCTAGAAAACATAAATTTCTAAGGTAGTGTTGTCTCGATCGCCCCCACCCCTTTTGGACATCTAGATACTGGATATTATATGGTTGAAGGATGTGTGTGCTCTTATAATTTTCTCAATTGTAATATTCTGGGGAGAATAGAATGTTTAGAATTTGATAGGAATTGATCCCCAAAACACTAAACAAGATTCTCAACCACCAAACTACACAGTTCCACTAGTTTAATATACTTGCATGTTCAATGATCCCATTAATAATATTGAAGCCAGATGTTGCCATTTTGATCCATACTTAGAAATGAGAATGAAAAATTAAGAATTTTTTTCTTTGTGCTACAGAATTGATTCAAATGTTGATGATGCATATTCAAATGTTGAAATGGCCCACGGAGAGATACTCAAGTATTTCCAATCAGTAACTTCAAATCGATGGCTGATGGTCAAAGTGTTTGGTGTGCTTATTGTCTTCTTCATCATATTCGTTGTCTTCATGGCGTAATGAACGAGTGACGTGAAGAGAAGTAACGAGCGATCGATGACTCAACAAATCGCCGAAGCACTAAAGCCCTGTCCAGACTATCAAATTTTATTTGACAAAAACATGTGATATGCCTAAATATGGTCATGATGACATCACATCATGACCATATATAGGCACATCATGACTATATATGGGCATACAACAGTTTTTTGTCAAAGAAAATTTGATAGTGTGGACGGAGCTTTGGTGTTAAAAATTTCTCTCACAAGTTGACAGCATATTTCACACTCAGTTGCTGACACCAGAACGTGGGCCTATGACACTCACTGAGAGAACCACCTAAGAAGGGAAGGGTAAATTTATGGTTTACCCCAGCTTTTTAAGTGCCATCTCTGCGTTTGTGAGAAATTACTACTGTTTTTAATGACGACAGGGCACTAGTTAACATTTTTTGAAGCGGTTTAAGTGGTAATGAATTAGTGTGGGTCCGTTATCTTTGCGATGATTTATTTTAAGCCAGCATTCGCCCAGGTAAGCCTATGAAAGTTCTGATAGAGAACATTGTTTGATTAATCTATTGTTCCAGTCCTTGTGTATCAGCCAGTCCTTGGCTGATGAAAAAATAGAACAATGAGACTCAAACCTGAATTGCATGACAATCAGCTGAAATAAGTAACTGTCCCTTCAATTTCTATAAAAATTTAAAAGCATAAATTATTAAGCTTAGTCGACACTATCAGTTTGCGTGATGTGCCCATATATGGGTATGATGATGTCATATTACACCCAAATATGGGCATATCACTTTTTTTCACATCAAATTCGGTAGTTTCGACAGTGCTTTAAAGTTATTATAAATCCCTTTAATTTGCTAAACTCCACCTTATTTTATCGTCTTTATATTTTTAAGCACATAGTTTTTTATTCCTGGCTCATTTAAACTTGTTTAAATTAATATATAATGAACTGCATAATATAATTAGGAAATAAATGTAAAGAAGTTATATTTTATTTAAATTTAGCTGTAAGTTTGTTTAGGTTTAATAGTGTTAAACACAATTACTTGAATTAATTAGGAAAATCCGAGGCAAAGGTTATATATACATTATTCTTCAACAAAGAAAACAGCATACGCTTATTTAAATAAAGATGATACAGTAAATATTTTTGGTAGAGCGGCAAAATGGTGGTTGAAGTGAGGTTTTTATGGGGTCTTGGATTCAAATCTCAAAAAGGGACAATATGGTGTTTCTCTTTATAGTGATAAAGACAATAATTTTTTAGAAATTATTGTCTTTATGGTGATTAAAATATTTTGAGAAAAACAAATTTTCATCTTTAAATATCTTCGATTACCTGAAACATAATTTGTTTGCTTTAAGTGGGGAGAGGGGAACTGAGCAATCAAGCTTTTATGGGGGCCATGCATCCCCTACGCTAACCCCTAGATATGCCACTGATTGGTACATCAGCTAAACAGTAAATGCAGGTCCAAATCCTGATGATAAATTTTTGGAAAAAAAAAACTCATCTTTATATACTTCTGATGGACTTGTTTACTATCATGTCAACTGAAAGTTGTTTTATAAGTGTCATGTGGGCATGTGTCATTTTTTATCTTTTTATTCTTATTCAACTATTATTTTAAAGATATACCATCTTTATATCACTGACGTGACAATATCATGTGGCTTGCCTGAACGTTGTTTTATAGTTGTTTAATGATTTGTTTTGTGGGTTTATGTTATTGCTTATCTTTTTATTGTTAATGCAACACTTCTGTAGCCCTGTTCACACTATCAATTTTCATTTGACAAAAACAGTTGACATGCCTAAATATGGTCATGATGGCATCACATCATCACCATATCGTCGCTCACATCACGAACTAACACAATCAAAGTAGATTGTGTTAGTTCGTGAAATCACAGT